CTACACTGGAGGCCTGGCTCAAGTGATAGAGTGCCAGCTGAGGGCAAAAGCAAGTGGGGTGAGAGCCTGAGGCACCAAGATCAAGCCTCGGGACTATCCCCCAGGGAAAGAAAAAGAACACCTCACCAATGTCTTCAGGTCCCAAGAGCTGCTTTACTAACTGCGATTGCAGACACCTGCAATGAAGCAGCTTGATGGGGCCGGGAAGGTCCACGCCAGAGCTTCGCTTCCTTCCCCTGAAGTTCATGACCACCCCAAGACACAGCCCAGCCTAAATCCCAATGTTTTCCCCTTCCAGCTCTTCCCACCCAACATGACTTCTTTCCCCTCAAATCCCCACATCCACTTGCTTTAGCCCTACACTATTCTAAAGTTCAGTTCATCAGTGACCTTAATTTCTTTGTATTGAGTAGCAGACTGTGGGGTAAAAATGCATTACACTATGTAAGAGTATGAACACTTCCCAATTGTTTTATAGTCAAAACCACCACAAACGTGCTGCTCAAATGTGCTCAACAGCAGAAGTGGTGCTGTAGCTCAAGTGGTAGAGCGCTCGCCTTGAGTTGAAGAGCTGAGGGACAACGCCCAGGCCCAGAGTTCAAGCCCCACGACCAACAAAAAAAACTATATAGAGCACTCAAATGTGCTCAATAGCTGAGTGAGCCAATCTGTTCTCCCCCAAATACGACACACGGACCCAATACACTTTAAGATAAATCTTCAGACACTTTCACCTAAAGAACAGTGCTTACACTGCCTATCAGTTTGAAAACAAAAACAGATGCCGCTACCACAGTTTTAACACTCCCAACTCCAGGAAGGCAGCTGTTCTGTGGGAACACACGACCACATGACCACACAGTGACTGTTGTGTGACTCGATGAGCTCACACTTGGAATTGGTTGGCAAATGGAGCACAATCCAATAAAATATCCAGATGTGGTAACAGAACCTCTCATGGTCTCAGCCCTAATTACTTAGTTGTCTAATAAACATCAGCTTTGGATGAGAGTGCATTATAAAACATAAAATCTGTGACAAAAGGTTTACAAGTAATTATTATACTCGCAGAGCCTTCTCACAATTTTTTCCCCAGTCCTAGGGCTTGAACTCAGTGCCTGGGCACTGTCCCTGAGCCTCTTTTGCTCAAGGCTAGTGCTCTACCACTTGAGCCACAGCACCACTTCTGGCTTTTTCTGAGTAGTTTATTGGAGATAAGACTTTCTTTCCTGCCTGGGCTGGCTTCAAATTGCCATCCTCAGAGCTTAGCCTCCTGAGCAGCTAGGGTTTACAGGCGTGAGCCACAAGCACCAGACTTCCTTCACAATTTGTCTATGGCCATACAAGAGCACACATCTGTTACACAGGTAGATAAGTGTTTCAGATGACAGGGGGAAAAAAAAAGACTTGACAATGTGCTATTTATACACTAGCACCTTTAAGATTTAAAAAAATCAACATCAATTATAACATATTCTATTGTAGTTATGCAGATATTCAGCTAAGCTCAGATGATCAAGAAACAGAACAGCAGAATAAAATATGCATTTAATGGGCACTTATGAACAGAAAATTAAATTTGAATACGGCCCATTAAATTCCTTATTAAAGAAATTCTGTCACTGAAGACTCACACATCATTGGCATTGCCAATATAATATTGCAACAATTTGATTATAGGGGAGTATAGTTTGTTTTAAAATTTATTATGAAATGTTGAATTCAAGATGCCCAAATGGGATATATATATATATATATATATATATATATATATATATGTGTGTGTGTGTGTGTGTGTATGTATGTATGTATTTGTAATAGTACTAGAAAAACAGCAAAAGAAATTTGACCACAACTAAATGGTAAGTTCAATAGATTATACACCTTGCTAGCCTTTATGAAGAACTAGACTCCAGATAACTCAACTCATTAACCAAAAAGGAGGCTGCAAATGGATTTAACTTCAGGGTTTTTCAAATGAAAACTTTCATTTAGTCTCCAAACCAAAATGATACGCTTGACCAATCAAATCAATCACCTAAAGACAACATTCCAACCCACAGCTCCTGCTTGCCTGGTTATGGGTACTTATTTGGAGATGAATGGAGGATTACAAAGACCCCCCCAAGATTTTTAATACTATGCAATACAAATGTTTTATGTAAAACTAAGCCTGAAACTCATCAAAATGAAAGAACATTTTACCAGGTCACAGAGTGGCCCAAACTAAGCTCAATATTTAAGAATCACTTTTGAGCCAGGTGCTGGTGGCTCACCCCTGCAATCCTAGCTACTCAGGAGGCTGAGATTTGAGGATCAAAGTTCAAAGCCAGCCCTGGCAGGAAAACCTGTGAGACTCTTTATCTGCAGTGAACCACTAGAGAACCTTAAGTGGCTTGTGGCTCAAGTCGTAGAGCACTAGCCTTGAGCTGAAGAGCTGAGGGACAGCGCCCAGGCCCAGAGTTCAAGCCCCACAAGCAGCAACAACAACAACAATCACTTTGCTGGAGTAGAACCAGTGGGTTAGCAATCAATCCGGAGGCTGCTCCAGCAAACCACTGACCCACACTGCCCGAGAGAGCCCCAGCTGGGGGGGGGGGAGGGGGAGGGGGGAGAAGGGGCTATTACCTTCTTAGTAAATTTGAAGTTGATAAAAATGGAATTCAATGACCAACAAGATACTTGGAGAAACAGCTTTTGCTTAAACTGGACATGTCATCCCACTTTTTTGAATTTGGGGAATACTAGTTTGATTTCATTAACTGTAGTCATAAAAATGCTTATGACAGTTCAGCAAATGGCCTATTTATAGCTCCCAAGATACTCTGCTAACACACTGTACACCAACCAAAACACAAGTAATCTTAGTGTTGACACAAGGGATGAATATGGAAACGAGCCTTGCATAGATATGCTGCTAAACATGGTCATGGATGTCCCAGAATACTTGGGGTTTGGCATTTGAAAATTTCCAATCCAATCTTCGTCTTTTCTGGTGCCAGTCCTGGGGCTTGAATGCAGGGCCTCTGTGTTGCAACTGAGCTTTTCGGCTCCGCTCCAGTGCTCCACCACTTGAGCCACAGCTCCACTTCTAGCTTTTGGGGTGAGGGTCTCACGGACTTTCCTATCCAGGCTGGCTTCAAACCACAATCCTCAGATCTCCACCTCCTGAGTAGCTACAATTTCAGGCATGAGCCACCAGTGCCCCAGCCCTCCTTTTTATTTCTATTTAACCATGTGAGTCTCAAATTTAACTGAAGAGTGAAAATTCAGTCTTAGTAATATTATAATCAATGTTAAAATAGCAGCTACCAACTTGTTTGGATAAAAACAAGCGTCCACAGTTCACATTTTAGAAATTATTTTTCCTCAGCATTCCATCTGTTTTAAGCTTTATTCTGCCTCCCCTCACCCCTTCCCCGACCCAGTCTGTCATGTGTGTATGGGTAGGCTTAATAAACTGTCTGGAAAAAGTTGAACTACTCTTATTTTGGTTACAATTCTGCATTTAAACAAACCATTTTAAAACACCAAGCTTAGGGCTCGTGGTGTAGCTTGGTGGACGAATGCTACCCTAACAGGAGAAAGCCCTGGGTTTGACTCTGGCACGTCAGCAAACAATCTAAACAACCTGCAAAGTCTGAAGCCACTTCCTAAGCTGTTCTGACCAGCTTTTGGAATGTCTGTATTTGTAATGCTGTAGTGTATCAATGTTAAATTGGTAAGAATTTTATGTTAGTGAATCAAATCCCTTCCCACCCACCTTCAAAAAAACAACACTGGCATCACTTTAACTTTGTTAGGAGTCACAAAAAAAATTTTTATTTAGGAAAAATATTCCCTTCAATGTTTATCAGATAGTGAATCTTATTTAATAATTTACTTTTATGCATAGGCCAATTAAAAGGTATGCCTCTTTCCTTTCATAAGCAAACTACTTCACTCTGCATGGCAGATAAGAAATTAATACCTCCTTCTACTTTGAAAAGTGGGGTTCTCCTCATTAGGAAGTGGTTATTTTTGCATGGACGGCCGTTGTGCTGCTCCTAAAAAGTCAAGAAAACATGGGCACGTGGGAAAGAAACCAGAAGCCGGAATACTAATTAATAGTGAGCCATAATACACATTGTTTAGACATTAAACAGAAAAAATACTCCTAGACTAAATAAATTAAGATTGGAATTTGCCATTTGAGAATCTAGGCCACTATCTCCAGTACTGGGGATGGTCTAGTGTTTAGTGTTTAAACAATAAGCAGCAAAATACTCCTAGGTTAAATAAATTAAGAGGGGAATTAGTCACCCGGAGATCTAAGCCGTACCCCCACCCCGGGGGACAGGCTAGCACAAAGGGGGCTCACACCACAGGCACAGACAGTAGAGAGGGGGAGAAACACAACATTTAATACTGCTGCTGTTTCCTGTCCCACGTCAACCCAATGATTGTCGCTCCGTCCTGCACATTGAAGTGACACACAGCTGAGCAGGTCTCACCCCAACCCCGTCGGGATACAGACACAGATACGTTCCAAAACTCTCCCACCAGGAGACTCTGCGGTGCGGTCGGGGCTGAGCCCCGATGAGACACGAGCTTTCTCCTCACAGTTCCGGGGCTCAGAAAGCCGGCGGCAGGGTGCCTCCCTCAACGGCAACCCCTGGGTGAGTCAGGTTTATCATGTGATTTCCATCAGATGACCAACGTGTGCCTCCTTGTTCCCTGGAAATCTGCCTTCTCAAACTCCAGCACCAAGTACAGTCCGGCTGCTCGTGACATTCCAGTTAGACTGGAAGCACGCCATTCTTCCATGCATCTATTTACTGAACACCTACTATGTGCAAGGCACGGTGTCAGGTGCTGCTATAGGACGGTCACGAGAACATGAAGTGTTTTTGTTTAAATAATTGATATAAAATTAATTTCACGGACCTAATTCCTTAATTTTCTTCCAAACTGAAGAAGAAACCCAATTACATATGACGGGTCTGATTTAAAAACACATGGCATAGCAGAGTTGTACTTTACCTCACGTTCCATACAGTATTTCCAGAAGTTTTTGAATATACATAAGGCAAATTTAAAATAGAAAAATAAACCTTGTTCAAAGTAGATGTTAGTTTTAACCATACTCTGTATCAAGTGAGTTTCATATACAAGTGTAAATACCGAAAGTCTTTATGGAAAGGTAGTTCGCGCCCACTTGCAGCAGTCCTAACAGGGGTAAGCGTACGTTCAAGTACTACAGAGTCTGTCCCTAAAAATGTCCACATGGAGAAAGTTTACACAATACATAATTTGAGAACAGATTTATATGCTGAGAAATTCTAATGTGAACAAAGTGAGTTTCTTTTATTCAAGGAGCAAGTGCAAAGAAGGGGAAAATGTAAGCACACTGTTCAAATCTTACAAATACACTAAAGCCTGTCGTTTAAAATGCTGACTGCTTGTCTTCAGAAGAGCCCTGTGAATTCCATCTGAATTCATACTGGTTCCAGGTTTTATTGGTATGGATCTGTGTGGCTGCTTTAAAAATAAAAAATGATTGCTTCTAAGCTTTATGATAGCGTTAAATTGCAAAAAGAACACGAGGTAATGTCAGCTGAGTAGGTAAGAAAGAGCTAGCTGTTTAAAAAAAAAAAAGAAAAAGAAAAAAAGCTAGCCTAAGACAGCATCTCTAGAGAGGAAAAAACCTAAGAGCGAACGGACAGCAGTAGTTCTAACGGCAAAAACAAGGAAACAAGGCAGGAAGTTCCCAGCCGTTCTACAGCAGTGGAAGCCAAAGTCGGGACTCAAGGAACTGGGCCACTCCTGTACCTTGGACACAACACTGCCTGAAGTAGAAGTAGTAAAATAGTCACTAAGTTAAAATATGTTTTATATTTTATAGCATATTGAATACACACATAAAAATACCAGTGTTTTTGTTGTTTTTTTTTATCTTGTTTCTGTTCAGACACTTGAGCAAATATGTTCTTTGGTGGCTGGGAGTTTTTCAGTATATACGGATAATGAAAGCTAAGACCAAAACTGACCTGCCTAGAAATAGAAGACTTGAAAATCCTATACCATATAAAGTAACAATCAAAAGTGGACTTATGAGAAACAATAGAAAGTTAAAGATACACCGCAATAGGACTGATACTCATTCTTCCCCAAATCATACTCTAGCTCCCCCAATAAAAAACCCCTACAAGCCTATTACGTTTTAAATCTGTTTTGAGATTTTCCAAGTGGAAAGATATCCCAGATAGAAATATATCATTCTAAGTTTTAAAATCATCAAAGTCAGTGAGAAGAATGTACATTCATTCAATATATTCATTTATAAAAGAAAAAAAAGTCTGAACAGTTCAACCAAAGACAAAGAATTGTTCTTGATTTTTCATTATTCCTTTTTAAATAAAGTATAGATGTACAGGCTGACATTTTGATTCATTCAAAATAGTCACATCCCTTTTTATGTGTCTTTTAAGTTTCCAAAGTCTAACATTTAATACCACTCTTAACACAGTATTTTCCGTGGAAGGGATCATAGAGCAATGAAAAATCAGAAGCAGGATGGCTTAGGAAGCCTTATAACCTCTAAATATACACACATTTATAACCTGTATTTCTAAAGAAACAAACTTTAAGTAATGCTAATTTAACCAATAGAGAAAAAACTTCTATCAAAATATACAATTTCCATTACAGACTAGAAGGCTAATATTAAAAAAATAGCTGTAAGCCAAAAAGTTTGCTGATACGGATGACGGCCACCGCCGCTCTGCAGCACAAAGCGTCAGCGCGAGTCCTGGCACTTCCAAGTTCATCGCCGAATTCATAAAGCTGAACCCAGTCTCTAGGTCAAGGTATTCCATTGCTTCTTAACTCAGCTTTTCAGAAGAGGAGGGAGGAACCAAGTAACTCAGAATCTCAAGTGGGATTTATGCTTCACCATGTACCTAAAACAGAATAAAAGAAGTGAGGGTGGCGACAGCCCTCACTGCGCAGGACCCGCAGCACTCGACGTGCCTGAGCAGCGGAGGTGAATGTGAAAACTGGGTTCCTTTCACAAGATACCCAACACTCAAACACCCTTGAGTGCGCAAGCACTGGTGCTGACACACAGGGGTGCACTGGTACACACGCATTCAAGTCTGCCTTCCACACTCACAGTGTAGGCCATAAACCTCGCTCCACCTATTTCAAAGGTCAGTGGATCCAAGATATTTGTTAATCCTCTATTACAGACCAGCACCAAATTAGACAATATTTGAGGAGGGAAACTGGGGAAGATGGTTTACAACTTTATGGAACTTAAAATGTAACTGATGAGACACGAAAACCACTATGATTAACACACGGCTGAGCGTACTTTAGGATCAGAATTACCTATCCAAGGTTTCCCAGAACCGCAAGAAAACTGGTCGGTCCAGATGGCGTTTGTGATAGCTGAGTTCTAATACCGTGACGTCCCATTTCTGAACATTTGGATCTAGACGAACTTCATCATATTTGAGATGGAAGGCTTTAACTACAGAAGACAGGGAAGAAAAAAAAGTCTTTTCTATTCAAGCTGTAATCAAAATTAGGAAAACATCTGCAAAGTGTGTATGTATACATCCAGCATTATATTAACAAGAAAACAAAAATGGAAAAAATTTAAAAAGTTAAAAACCACTCAATTTTCCCAATATCAGCTGAAGCTACATAAGCAAAGTTACCTCTTAAATAGATGCTGAACACTATAGTATTGTTGGAAACAGTAGTGAGCATTTATACAAGTCAGCCACTGGGGATTAAAAATGAAGAATACAGCAAACTAAAATGCAAATGGCGCAGTGAAGAGTAAGAAAAACACTATTCATACAGTAAATACACCAAGGGTAGTCAATGTCAGACTCAAAATAGAGTCTTACCTAGACTCTGAATCCAAAAAAGGCAGTGGTGTCTAATCTAAGACCATAAAGGTCAAGAAAGTAAGAAACAAGCATACAATGCAAGTGATCCAGCTAGCAAGAAGAGCGGACAGCTTAGTCTAGGAAACAGGAAATCTGAAATGCCTTACGAACGGTATTATAGAGAGTAATGTAGGAAGGGATAAAAGACTAATGTAACCGCACAGAGGTTCAGAGAGATACAGGGCTCCCAGCTTTATCCGAGTGTGCACTTTCGTTCAAGGGACATGGGCAATCTCTGCCAAGTACTTAACAGAGTCTGCTACAATTTAGTAATCTAAGAGAGGAAGAGTTGGGCTCTTCAACTAGGTAGAAATTATATAGAAGAGAAATATTCAAGAGAGAATTGGGGAGTAAGAACAGGCCTAAATAAAAACGATGAAGGGAAAAAGAAACATTCACCATTAAAGACACTGAACCTTTTAGTGAATGACTCGCACACACCATGCACTATTATAGACACAAGGACACACCAGTGGCCAGAGTGGTGTCCACTCTCAGGAAGAACACATTCTGACAGCCGGCGTATGAAAAATATTCAGGCAGCAGAAATGCCACTGAAGGAAAACAAAGCAGGATAGGGAAGCAAGGTAATACAAGTGTGTAAGGAGTGTTTTACATCCATGTTGAGGAAGCAACCTAGAAGTATGTCTTGCAAAGACTTAATTGAGAGTATCGGGTGGGAGGAACGGCTGCCACGAAGGTCCTTGAGATACATGAGTAGGCTGAGAACGTCTTATCTCCAGTTAGTTCTTGGAGGCCATGGTCTACATCAATCTGTTTTATTCCACAGGTGAGTCCAAGCCACTGGAAGCTTAGATCAACAAAGTGCGGTTTTCATTTTTAAACGACAGTCAATCCTGGTGGTGCATGTCGGTGATCCCAGCACTTCAGAGGACGGGGGGGGGGGGGGGGGGGGGGGGGGGGGGGGGGGGGGGGGGGGGGGGGGGGGGGGGAGGGTCCCAGGCCAGCCTGGGCTGCAGTGAGACGCGGCCTCAGTCAGTCGGCCAGTCAATACCCACCCACGAAAACCGCCCTCCGAGGTCTGGGCAGATGGAAGACTTAAGGACATTCTCCTGGGTAATCCCGCGGACTCACCCCAACTAGTCTACTATTGTACTTGCACCCACTGTCTTACCAAGTTAACTGGGTTTTGCATGCATGTATGCAAAATGCTTAAAATTTGTTTCTCAGGTTTACGGGGTTTTTTTACTAGCGTATAATTTTTTTTTACTGTCATTAGCATCACCCAGTATAGGGTTTCTAACAAGAAAAAAAGTGACATCAGTGAACATTTTTGATAGCTACTCTATTAATTATTGTTCCACAAAGCATACTGGCATATTGGCTTTTGATATTAACAACTCACCAACATTCGATTCTTAATGGAAGTTTAAAATAAGTCATTTGTACCCAGGAGAAAAAGCAAAACCATGTTGTTTTTAGAAGCAAAATCCTCTTCATCAGAGACAAATTATTCATTTTGACGTTAATTAAATCAATTTGTTAGAAAAGCTATATGCTACGGGAGTTTGGAAAACCCATTCTTAAAAACGTTGTCAATTTTTAAAGTTAAGTCATTTTGTTCTTCCTACCCTACATTTTACCTTTGTAATATGATTCCTAGTTTTCTTTAAATGATTCTTTAAAATACAGGTGTCTATGGCTCACACCTGTCATCCTAACTACTCAGGAAGCTGAGATCTGAGGGTCATGGTTCAAAGCCAGACCAGGCAGGAAAGTCCCTAGGAATTGACCCAAAGGCCAGAAGTGGGGCAGTGGCTCAAATGGTAGAGCGCTAGCCTTAGGCAAAAGCAGCTCTGGGACAGCGCCCGGCGTTCAGCCCTGAGCTCGAAGGCCCACAACCAGCAGCACCAAAAAAAAAGTTTATATATATATATATATATATATATATATATATATATCTCGATTGTGAGGCCTGAACTTGGCCTGGGCGCTGTCCCTTAGCTCTTCAGCTCAAGGCAAGCGCACTACCACTTGAGCCACAGTGCCACTTCCGGCTTTTTTCTTTTTGCTTATGTGGTGCTGGGAATCGAACGCAGGGCCTCATGCATGCAAGGCAAGCGCTCTACCACTGAGCCACCTTCCCAGCCCTATAAAAACTTATTTTAAAAAAGAACTACAAGTTTTTAAGTATCTACAAGTAAAAACAAAAGATACCAGTTATATACCAACATAATATAATGAATGAAATATTTCGCATGACTCAGGCTTGCTTCATGCATAAATCCTACCAGCACTCTTGGTGGGGAGCAATGAAGCAAAAGAAATGGAGAAGGTGCCCTTTCGAGTAGTGTCCAGATCCACTGCCACGGGCATGACAACCGTCGCGCAGGCAGCTGGGACTAAGGACAAGGCCCTGCCACCAGCCCACTGCCCGGCCAGAGGCAGGACCTGAAACCCCAGAGGGCCAGCCATCAGGACGAAGGCCCTCCAGCCTCCTCACCACACGCTCTTCGTGTGCGCCTAGAGGAGCACTAAGCCAGGGGAAAACAGGCAAATGGCCAAGCTAGGTTCTTAGGATGCGGAGATTAGGAATCAGGGTTCAACGATAAGCCAGCAGGCCGCCTCCCTCTCCCTGTGGCCAGGCAGGGTGGTGCCTGCACCATCATCCCGAGACATGAGGCAGCACAAGAAGCAGGAGACGTCCAGGCTGACCCTGGCGAATGTGAGACTGGACCTTGAAATGACCAAAGCAAAAAGGGGCTGAGGGGAGTGGCTTATGTGGCGGAGTACTTGCAAGCCCAGTGCCTGTGTTTAATCCCTAGCACAGGAGGGCAGTGCACGCAGCAAGGATGGTGCCCGGATTCCTACACTCAGCAGCCGCTGTACGGGTGGCAAACCATTTGAGAGTTCGCATCTTGTGCCGACGAGGAGTCCTGCCTGTTAGATAATAAGCCCAAGACGACAACTTGGGGCAACTGGCTCTTCCTCCTGCTGCACCTCGTGCTTCGAGGCGCACTGCACCCTCCTCGCCGCCCAGCCCACTCCTGATGATTCTGCTGCTGCACTTGTAGGGGCTCTAAGCACCCAAAGAACCCAGCAGAGAACCTCAGTCCTCCCGGCCCCCTCTCAAAGCGCAGTGCCACACCACACGAGCAGCTCTCTAAATGCCAGCAGAAAAGAAATAGTGCAGAGGCAAGGTGAAAGAGAAGCATGTACAATCTGTACAAGACATCATGCACTGGGGCCGGGAAGGTGGCTCAGTGGTAGAGCGCTTGTCTTGCATGCCTGAGGCCCTGGGTTCGATTCCTCAGCACCACATAAGCAAAAAGAAAAAAAGCCGGAAGTGGCGCTATGGCTCAAGTGGTAGAGCATTAGCCTTGAGCTGAAGAGCCGAGGGTCAGCGCCCAGGCCCAGAGTTCAGGCCCCATGACCGGACCCCCCCCCAAAAAAAAAAGACATCATGCACTCCAAGAGTTGTCTTCCATGTTGAAAATGGAATATACAACTTGTGGTGGGGACAAGAGGGAAAACAGGGAGAGCGCAAGGGAAGGGGTGACAATGTCCAAAAAGAAATGTGCTCTTCACCTGCCTTACGTAACTGTGACCCCTTTATATCACCTTTATAACAACAACAAAAAAGATGTAAAAAAGGGATGTCTTTAAGCAGTATGGAGGATAAACAATAGTAACAATGAATTCTACACAGCTGAGCATATAGTTTTATAGGCCAAGGATATTTTTTGGTTAAAATAGTATTCAATGAAGCAAACCAAGTATATAAAAGACAGGACATTTGCATTCACTGACATTTTGCTTTCATTTAATTTGCATCCTCTCCGCATATTTAACTTCTATTTACCAACTCGCTAAGCATTAATCTAATGATAACATAAAGAGCTATAATGACAGTAGTATTGTAATTCATTTTAAAAAATAAACAACAAATGAGCCCAGCTTGGAATATTTGTGGCCGAATGGTGGTACCAGCCACAAAACTGGTTAGCAGAAAAGCTGTGCCTTCACAGTAGTGCCATGTATATTCATTATAAAACATCACAATCGCTTTACATTAATTCTACTCATGTTACTATTTTAGCTGCACCCTCCAACTAAATAATCGTTTGAACGGTCCTTCCAAGCAAATAGACAGACTAGTGGACTTAGTTGTGTCAGAGGATGAGATGCAATCCACATGCAGGGCTGTGCTCAGAGGAGCTCACTGCAGGCCTTCTTCTGTGCTGAGAACACAAAAGGGAAGACCCAGCTAAGGCTTCTCTGGTGGGGGAACCTGCATTCCGGCCACAGAAGGCTACAGCAGAGCCCTAAGTACTGTGAGTCCTGTCAATGAACTAAAATAGTTGAGAGAGAAAGCAAGTGGGAGATGATGGTCAGAGAAGTAGCCGCCAGAGACAGAACACTTGAGCTGAGGTGTGAATAAGGAGGAAAGGCTGGCCAGTTGTGTTACAATTATGCCGCATGACACCATTTGGGTCAGCAAAATTAGCCAAATAAACACTGATTATTAGCCAGGCAATGATGGTTCACACATGTAATCCTAGCTACTTGGGAGGCTGAGATTGGGGGGATCACAGCTCAAGGCTAGCCAGGACAGAAAAGTCTGAGAGAACCCTTTTTGGAGAGCAAGATGTGGTACTGGGTGCCAGGTACCCTACCCACAATGGAAAGCCCAAAATAGGAGGATTCTGGCCTCCGTTCACTGAGAAGGAAGTAGGACACTGTCTTGAAAATAGCCAACACAAAAGAGGGCTGGCAGCACAGCTGAACAGCAAAGGTGCCTATCTGGCACGATGAGCCCCTGAATTCAGTACCGTTAATTTACAACAACAAGAAAGGAAGGAGGGAAGCAAGTGAGGAAGAGAGGAAGTGAGGAAGGGAGGGAGGGAGGGAGGGAGGGAGGCAGGAAGGAAGGAAGGAGAGAAGGAGGGAGGGAGGAAGGAAGGAAGGAAGGAGAGAAGGAGGGAGGGAGGCAGGCAAGCAAGCAAGCAAGCAAGCAAGCCAAGTGCACTCGCTCATTATCATTGGGTTCATGTGTGGAAACATCAGTGAAAACCACAAATTTGTACAATTTATAAAGCACCAGGAACAGTGGTATACATCTATAGTCTCAGCTATTGGGAGACTGAGGCAGGAGAATGGCAAATTTGACACCTGCCTGGGCACAGAGCAAAACCTTATCTCAAAAAAACCCCAAAAAACAAAACAAAAAAAACGAGTTACAATTTTAGCATAAATATGCAAACATATCAATGACTTAAGTGACCTAAAAGGATTATTAATGTTGTAAGATAATCAACATTCACTTCCATATGTAACCACACAGAAAATATTAACGTAGGAAAGGGCTTGAAAATACTCCCTGGCTCTGTGTTCCTTCATTCAAGGCCACCGTCAGTACACTCACCGCGTATGCAGAGCCACATGAGCTCTTCTCATAAAGAACGTTTCTATACAGGATAAGCAGCAAATATACCAAGAGCCTTACTTTTAGCAAATATGTCGACTGGTGATCCATCAGGCAAAAGCCATGGCCAGCCTTTGAACTGCCACGCAGGACCTTGAACAAACACTGCTACAACTCGGTCCCTATAAGTAGAAGGTGGGTGAGGGAGAAAGGGAGAATATCTCAAAGTTGAGCTTCAGGTACTGTAAACTGCTCAGCCTCCTACCTCCTAGGAGGGGCCGGGCGGAGACGGCGGAGGCCGCTGTCCCCCCGGGCTTCTGTTGCTGGTCCCCCATCCTCAGCTGCCATGTTTCAAGCGTAGTAGTTGCTGAAAGGACTTACAAGTATAAAGCTTCCTGGTCACCGTCACCTCTTCCTTCCGTCTCCCCTCCCCCTCCCACCCCCACTCCCATAGTTCATGTTTTATATACTGTACATTGAACATAATGACTGCATTTGCTCACCTTTCCTGCCTCGCTCCTGTGCCCCGCCCGCTTCTGCAGAGCACGTTTCTACTTCTTGGTAATCACTGTGATACACTGTGCATTAGGGTTCAGAGGCGGTGGGCCTCTGGGCTCTTCCGCTAACGCTAAGCACACCCTCCTCACACCAGGCTGCGTGTGTAGAAGAGCGCTGAGCCCTGACTACGTTGCCATGCATGCCTGTCGTTTTTCTCTAGCTTCCACACATGAGAGAACATGCACCAGGCTTCTAAATCTTTCAGACATATTCACACAATAGTTTCCTATGTCTCGGCCTTTTCCTTTCCATTAACTGATGTAGGGGTACACTTTTCCAGTGAATAGGAATTACTATATATTAACTGAAACATTTTGTTTTAAAAAGAATTAACTTAAAATTCAAATACATCTTATTTTGTTTTAATTAAAATATAGTAACTCATCAACTATCTGATGAAGCCCAAGGCCCTATTTTCTAGTTCTTCAGCTCTTCAGAAACTATCTTCAGAAGCCATCTTGACTTTTCTACTTCTCCAAGTGCTTCTTTTACCCTACATGCTCTACTCCTGCCTCCTGCCCCAGTCCTGGGCCTGAACTCAAGGCTTAGGCACTGTCCCTGAGCTTTTTTGTTTTGTTTCTGTTAAAAGCTAGCACTCTACCTCTGAGCCACAACTCTACTTCCAGCTTTTTGGTAGTTTAATTGAACCTAAGAGTCTCACAGACTTTCCTGTCTGGGCTGGCTTGAATCTCAATCCTCAGATCCCAGCCTCCTCTGAAGCTAGGATTAGAGGTGTTAACCATCAATGCCCGGCTGTAATTTTTTAAAGCAAGTTGTTTTTCCAGCCATTCCAACTGCTTTTCCAGGAAAGAATAAATCTCTTTCTAGGCACTCACACTTCATTATCTTGTACATTATTAGTTGAGAAATCATCATAGGTACTCCCATGAGTACCACCCAGCTGGGAGCAAATCACAGGGTGGCTAGTATCACTAATGAAACATAGTAACTATGAGGCAGCTCTACACTGGCCACACACATACATCGAGCCTTCAAAAGCAACCTGCAGGGGTTTATACTACCATACTGTTCCTCCATTTTCAGATGAGAAAACAGAAGTGCCTTGGTACACTGGAGAACAATCCACTACCCAGGGGGCAGGGGGAGAGGGGCAGGAAGGAGACCAGATGATGAACGCTGGGCACCTGGGACGTGAGTGGCCGGTTCCTGTTTAAGGACTGAGAACAGCCACTCAATCATCTATTATATATTATACAGAGTTCGACTTTACAATCCAAGGGAAGGGTCTTGGCAAAGCCCAGAGACCTGGGGACTCCTCACATCCAATAAAACCTCAATACTCCTGAGGAGAACTGCAGCCTTAAAATTCTTAACCCTGCTCAAGATTTCTGAAGCTAAAATTAAACCCGAAGGAAAAAAAGAAATCTTCATTCCATGGGATTATGCCCCACACTATCAAAACCATCTTCAGTACTGTGACACTGAATTAAATGAATTTTACAATGTAATTTATCCCACACAGCAGCTGAAATACTACAATGGTATCATTGTTGATGACCAAGTTAGAGCTACATAATCAGTGTTCAATAACAATACAAACAGATACATGGTATACATACACACACACATATGCACATATACATTCTCTCACTTTCTCTCTCTCTCTTACCAGTCCTGAGGCATAAGTTTAAGGGGCTGGTCTACCACTCTATACGGCACAGTGACGCTAACTGCAGCACCCCCTGGCTGCATCTGATCTTTTCTTCTCTGTATCAGAGTTTCATTTTCTCGTTGACAGCCTTGTTTCTTCTTTTCATCCGATGGAACAAATCTTTGAATAAACAGAAAAAAAAATCAAATGCATTCAGTGTGATGAAGTTAGGAAAATACATTTTGAAATAATCTTAAATCTTTAGAAGACTAATGTTTTTAAGCTAAAATGTTTTGAAATAAATCTGCTATGCATATATAGATCATGCTGCCTAGAATGTATGTAACATTCACCACACTCCATCTTCATTTCTCAAAACTATCTACTAGAGAAATCAATAAAGGAAACTTTATTAAGTAACAAAGAGGAAGAAACTCATGTGGCTGGATAGGCTTCTCCAGTGGGTAGCGTAGTTTATACCAAATCTTCATATCAGTTCACCCTTTTTCACAGTTCTATGCATCAGCAAAATTAGGAAAAATGCCATAAAGCTTCAGTTGCTTTGAAGATTTTAAAGTAGGGAAATCACCTTATACAATAGTCTATTTTAGTAAATATCATTAATACCATCAACTCAACCTAAATGGTTCAATTCTCCATTCACTCTCAACAGATCTTTTCTAAAATTCCCTATCTGCAGAGCCACTGTCAGCTCTACAGTTTGGCTCTTGTGGGCATTTTAACAATTTTAAACAATCTTTTCTTCAAAATAAACATAACCCAAACATACAGTCTAAGAGTCCCTCCAATGGCATTTGGCCAATACAACCAACGCACAGAGACAGCCCACGAGGTGTGTGAGAGCCCGCACTCTGAAGCTCCTTGGAAAGTTTCAAAGCCACATGTTGTATTCATCAAACAGTATCAAAGCTTTTAATACATGATGGTGATAATACTTAAGTTTATGTCTAAGCTGACTGATTTCACCTTTTGAAACCTGATGAAAAACCAAGGTATTCATAACATTAAAAAAAAAAAAAGCCTAACAACCAAAGTACCAGTGGCTCACACCGGTTAGTTCTATCCAGTAAAGAGTATAAGATCTGGAGGACTGCAGTTCCAAGCAAACCCAGACTCTACTTCCAAAATAATCAGCAAAAAAACAAAAACAAAAAAAACGGGCAAACAAGCCAAAGGAAAGCACCCTGAGCTCAAGTCCTAACAATAAGTCGTCCCAGATAATCAGCTACTCTTCACAGATTGGTTTTCCTAATCAGACTCAACAGAAAATGTCGAAAATAATACTAACACTCTGAGATACAGTACTCTGCTGAAAACTGAATTCAAATGGAAAGCCACAAGCTACAAAACAATATGTGCAGTACACTGTCCTACAAATTATTCTGTGTGTGTGTGTGTGTGTGTGTGTGTGTGTGTATGTGTATAACTCAGTTCTTGCACTCTTGAACTTGTTCCAGAATAAAAGAATCTCACTGAGTAAAAGGATCTCACTGTCAAAGAAAAGAAAAAGATGCTGGGTGCTGGTGGCTCACGCCCATAATCCTAGCTACGCAGGAGGCTGAGATCTGAGAATAACAGTTCAAAGCCAGCCTGGGCAGGGGTGAGACTCTTATCTCCAATAAACCACTCAGAAAGCAGAAGTGGCACTGTGGCTCAAGTGGTAGGGCACTAGCCTTGAGCTGAAGAGTGAGGGACAGCACCCAGAGCCAGAGTTCAAGCCCCACGACCAACACACACACACACACACACACACACGCACGCACGCACGCACGCACGCACGCACGCACGCACGCACGCGAGCGCTTTCCTTTAATTTGTCTCAATTAATATATATCTAGATGGGATTAAAATGTTTTAATTCTTAAATATAATATTACATATTTCTCCCTCTGGCTTCTGAAAGATGCTGTGAAAGTATAAAAGTATTTCTCATCTTTAGTAAGGAATGAGTCATAAGATACAGGTGAGTAAAATATTAAAATATCCAACTAAGTCTACTGAAGAATTAACTCAACTGCTGCTACCTAGAAAGTTACATAGCATCTCCATGTTTATACACTGCTCTAATTTTTACTAAAGTTATGTAGTTTTTCAATTAAAGACAGAATTTTCACATCTTCTTTTCTAACCAAAACATGATCATTTCCTTAGAGTGCTATAGCCTCTATTAGAAATAAAATGAATTATTTCAAAATGCTTTTCAGCCTTGACAGTTGACAACTTAAGGATAGACCTATGATCCCTTGAACTTAAATCTACTAAAAAGACTAGTATTCTACAAAAGGTCAATATAAAAGTTACCTGCTCACCCTATAGTGATTGGTCAAATCTCACACACCACAGACTGTGAGGTACACCACTTACATTGTACCACTATGGACGAAAACGACTGCCAGTTACCATTCCAACAGTACCTTACGCCTACACACCTAAATTGGAACCATCATCCTGGAGGGAGCTGGCTACTCTCCTGACTGGGACTCCCTGTCTGACACTGTGAGAGGAAACGCTTTTGTTCACCTATGGTAGGTTCTGCATAGGTACCACTACTTCATTCCATAAAATACTTGGCTGTTGTTTTACAAGAAAGCATTGAGATCATTCCTCCTACAAGAAAGAATTCACAAACACCAAATTTATCCTCCACTGCTTCATTTCAGTTTATTTCTGCACAAGCAGCACTTTTATGGACACAAGATTTACGTACTATGAAATATGCAAGTTAGTTTTTATATATACCCAGTGTATGCACCATACCAATTACGACAAAGAACAGAACACATTAACGCATTCAGTGGCTGTACAGGCAAGTCACATCCTAGTCCCCATTCGCAATAGACAAACACTGTTTAGATTTCTGTCACTATTCATTAATTCTGCCTGTCCTGAGAATTTAGACATACAGTAATACGGATGTACTCCTTTGTACCTGGCTTCTTCCAATCAATTTAATGTGTCTGATATCCACCCATGCTGTGGGTTTATCAGTGCTTCATTCTTTTATTCTGGGTAGAATCCTACGGCAATAATACACCACAATTTATCCATTTTCCTGCTGGTAGGTATTTGGGTATCTTGGTCTATTTGGGATGCAATAACAGAAATACCACAGATTAGGTGACTAACCAACAACAGATTTTTGGTTCTCATGTTCTCCAGTCTGGGAGGTCCAAGATCAAGAGGCACCTGAGGAGTCTCACGAGGTTCATCCACCGTGCTCTCCACAGTGGAGGGGCATGGGGGCAAGGGGCTCGCTTCATGGGAACACTGACCCCACTTCTGGACACAACCATCAATGAAAAACCATCATACTGGGGTCAAGCTTCAACACATGAGACTGGGGAAGAAGGGAAGGGGTATACACAAGTATGCTGTGTGAGTGGTTGCAAATGTGGGTACTACATAAAGCTAAGTTAGTACTCTATAGGTGCCATTTATGAACCTGTGTAACATATGCTTTCTTCTCTCTTTTGTAAGTACCTTTGAACAGAACTGGTAGATCATGTGTGTTTAGCTTTACAACAAACTGTGGGGAAGTTTCCCAGCTTAAGCTTTTTCCCAGTTTTAGTTTTTCTTTTTTTGTCAGCCATGGAGCTTGAACACAGGGCCTGGGCATGTCCCTGAGCTTTTTCACTCAAGACTAGCATTCTACCACTTTAAGCCACAGCATCACTTCCCATTTCCTGGTAGGTCACTGGAGATAAGAGTCTCATGGACTTTCCTGACTGGACTGGCTTTGAACCACAATCTTTAGATTTTTGCCTGGAGAGTAGCTAGGATTATACAAGTGAGACACTGACATCCAGCAGAATTTTTCAGTTTTTCTCAAATACTACCTCATTATGTATTTGTGAAGACTTCTGCTCATGCTGATTGTCTTTTTAATGTTGATAAAGTGGAGTCACTGACATTCTGGCCCTGACTGTTAGAAATATGCAATGATAGTATTTCCAAACTGTGCCAGGAGTACCACCTCGCTCTCGCTAAGATGTCATCAATTAGCAAGAAATATCCCAGTTTCAGAGACATTAAAACATAAAGCATGTGCCTGTCTTAGAAACAAAAGTACAGTGCTCCAGCCAATTAACCCAAGGGCTGTAAACCATGGAACTATTGGTTTGGTTGCTCCAGGCAAACGGTCAATTTTCAATGAGTACTCTTCCACTGTAACTCCATTCACAACTTACAAATATGAGCCAATGATGACAGCAATGGCCAGATTAAAGTAAACAAAGCAAACACTAAGCCTATCATCTTCTGCCAGACTAAAGTCTGAACAGAGCACATTGTACTATTTTACTCCTTGCCCAGGAAGTGTGAAGAAGTAAGTACTGTGCTCTTTATATAAACTACTGTCATTTCCTAGTCTATAAGGTGGCATCTTAGAAGCAATGCATCTGACATTCAAATCTGAATGAGGTAATTCTGGTTTCCTAGCCTTTAAACGCATCTCTAAGGATGGATTTAAATTTACTTAATTCTAAATTTAAGCCATGTGTATTACACTTTGAATCTATGAATTTATCGCCTTTATTCAAAGTAGCATTTAATTGTATTGAATTCTGCCAGTGTTTTCTTTGCTACAGCAATTACCTAAGTTGTTATTTTCCCACCAGTCTTCAGGCTTCCTGAAGGCCATGGCCATGGCCTTCACACCAGCTAGTGTGTTGCTCCCCTCTCCTAGGGCTCAGACACTGGCTAATGTGGAAAATCACCCTGAAAGACTTATGTAGCTAGAACCATGTTATTTAAGATTCCTGAGTGTTCTGACATCCATTCATGAACTGTGACAATTATATTTTTATACTTTTTTTGAAGAAAAAAAAAAGAACAATGGCTTGAGGTAACATGAACAAATTATGACCTTTACCAAGTAGGTCTTTTTACCTTTGTTTTTTAATTGTTATTGCAGAGTTGATGTAGAGGGGTTACAGTTAGTGAATCAGGTAATGAGTTATGAGTACAGTTACTTTTGAACCTTGTCTCCTCTTTCATCCTTCTCTCCCAGTCTTTCCCTCCCCACAGACTAGATACCCAGTTCATTTTCCACATAGTGTCTACTGAGTATCACTGCTGTATTTGTTCATCCTGCTCCACCTTTTATGTGTCCTCCCTTCTTCCCCTCCCAAATGCAAACAAACAAGAGAAAACAAAACAAAAACAGCAACAATAGCAACTAAAAAAAAAGTCTCATTTCCTTTTCTTGGAGTTCATTGCATAGGCCACTGTTTTATATGAGCATCTGTTGATGACTTTGTCTACCACCTGCACGCATGTCCTCCTTGGCCTTAAGAGTACGTTAATGACTAGGGTCCTATATAATCTATCATGTCCCAGTGTGTGTGTCCGTATACATGTCTGTGTGTGTATGTATACATGTCTATGTGTGTCTATAATCATGCAGTGTGTACTTGTAGATTTATAGGCACCGCACATTCTAGTTACCACATGAAGGAAACCATGCAGCCTGTTTCATTGGCTCTGGCTTACTTCATTTCATATAATTTTTTCCAAGTCTTTGCATTTCCTTACAAATGGCACAATATTATTCTTTCTGATGAGTAGAATTCCATTGTGTATATATACCACATTTTCTTGATCCATTCATCCACTGAGGGACTTGTAAGTTGATTGTGTATCTTGGCTATGGTCAAACAATACCACAATGACCATGGCTGTGCTGGTGGCTTTAGTGTGGTCTGGCTTATGGTCCACTAGATAAATGCTCAGGAATGGAACTGTTGTGTCATAGGGAAGGCTCTATGTTTAGTCTTTCCATACTGCTTTGCAGAGTGGTTGAAAAAGTTTACAATCCCACCAACAGTGTAATAGGGTTCCCTTTTGGCCACATCCCCGCCAGCATTTGTTAATTATTAGTTTTCCTGATAATGGCCATTCTAACTGGTATAGGTCTTTCATTCTGCTTATATGATATGATAATATGACAAACTCCCTAATTGGAATAATACCTCCAAAAAAGCTAAGTTATTAATAAAGTCCTTCAAGATTCTTAAAGGCGTCTCTGAGTAATGAGTTAAAAAACTGTAAAGAACATTTGGGTGAAAAAGTAATGAGCCTGTGCTTCGGCAGGCATAGCAGGCACTTACAAACCTAGTCAATCTAGGCTTGGTTTCCCAGGCCTCACAAGGCTTCTTCTAGTCGTATACAAAACAAAGCTCAAATCCTCTCACTGTAAGAAATCTAGTAAGAGTTCCTCTGCTCATAAACTGACAATCCTGTTAAATTCAGCACAATGGTAACACTTGAAATAAGGCCATACTTGTCTTTTCTTCCCTACCTTTCCCCAAGACATAAACTTCACCCACCTGCAAAGAAAACTAGAATGTCTCAAAACTGAATATGCAGCAAATGCAACAATATCTGGACATTTAAACTCAAACTGGCTAGGCATAGTGGCAAATGTCTGTAATCCCAGATACACAGGATTTGTAGATGGAGAGGATCATAATTCGAGGACAGCCTAAGCAGAGTTAGTTAGTAAGATCCCATTTCAACCAGCTATGATGCAAACCACATGGGGAACATGTTAGGATTATGGTTCAAACTGGCCCCTATAAAAATATAAGACGCTATCTGAAACAAATAACTGAAGCCAAAAAAGGGCTGTGGATATGGCTTAAGTGATAGAACTTGCCTAGCAAGTTCAAGGCCCAGTATTTCCAACCTCCATACTAACAAAACAGACCCTTCAAACGGAAAAGTTAAAGGGATGCTTCCACAACATATTCAGTAAATCTCACTGGAGGACTCCTCACATTCACTGAAGACTCAATTTCCTCAGAAAAATATCCCAAAGAATATCTATGTGAAGTAAGTTATAAAGGTCAAGCCTCTGAGAATCATGATGGGCCATAATCTGAAGATTTAATTCTAAAAATCCCAAATAAGAAACAGGAAGGACCTCTACATCTAAGAACATTTTAAATTATCTTTAAAATAACCACACAGGACAATTTCCCTCCTACAACTGATGACCTCATTGAAGGCTAGCTTATCATCATCAATAAGGGATCTAGAAGTTACTGCAAGAAGATCTTCAATATGGCAAGAAAATTAAAATTTGCTGCCTGCCATCCTGAAGCAGCTCTAAGCGCTTGCATTGCCTGTGGCTGTAATGTGGACGGCTGAGGACCGTTCCTGTCATGTAAGCCCCAGGAACTGTCCTTGCCCTGCCTGCTTCTTTCCAATGCCTCAAGCAGTTTCCTCATAGGCAGGAAAGCGAGGGGAACGCTCTCCAGATCTGAGCCTTGTTCCCTTCTCCTTGGGCTCTGCCATCATGCACAGAACACACGTTCTACCTAATTTATTTATCGTAAAATAACCTACTACACTTCTTTCAGGTTTGCTATTTAGGATGTTAAAAGTTAAACCTCATTTTATTTTTGGTTTCGTTTACTTATTGAAGGGGCTACAAAATTGAGGAATCTACGCCTTTACATAAAACCAAAGAATCTAGCCAATTTGAACCCTGAGTTACAGCCAGTCCTAAAGTTGTGTGGAGGAGGTTTCAATTATGCATTAATTACACAGCAAAGTCTCCAGCTGATTTGAGCAGTAGGGGAGATGTCAGTTGCAATGAGGTGTTAAACAATGAAGGAAATGTTTTGAACTTGCAAGAAACCTAGCATAATCTACCCTCAAAATGTCGTCCATTTAATGGTTTGGCTTCTCCATAGCCAGGCTTTTAAAGACAGACATCAAAATCTACTTTGTGATTTCTGTTCACTATAAAGACAAGATCTGTAATATGTTAAGATAAACACTGCAAAGGTTCTAGAGAATGAAGAACTGATAGCAATTTTTTTGGGAGGGGCCAATAAAAGCTTATTAAATCATGTCACAAACCAAGCAACAACCTCTTTGCTATATAAAAGTCATGTAACAATGCAAATAATACATTACCCGCCTAATTATGTCAGCAGAGTTCCTTTTCATTCCATTCTCTGCACATGCACAATTCTCTCCACAATGGCTAGCCATTCACTGGCACCCACTTCTCAAAGTGCCCAGTGGGTCAGGAAGGTTCAGGTAAACTAGGGGTGCAGCCAGAAGACTGGGCATCAACCAAAAGGGGTAGCCACAAGTTCCAAGTGTCCCTTGGCTTGGCCAGAGTCAGGCTCAGTTACAAGAGTCCCAGAATCCCACCTGCTTCTAATGAGATACTAGAATTGCTTGAGTGTTTAAAGTACTATCACTTGCTAGTTATATGCAGCAATAATCCTAGTTACTCAGGAGGATGAGATCTGAGGCTCGTGGCTCAAAGCCAGCCCAAGCAGGAAAGTCTGTGAGACTCTTATCTCCAATAAACTACTCAGAAAAGGCCAGAAGTAGTGCTGTGGCTCAAGTGGTAGGACGCTAGCCATCAACACAAAGAGGCTCAGGACAGCACCCAGGCCCTAAGTTCAAGCGACAGCACCCAGGCCCTAAGTTCAAGCCCCACAACTGACAAAAATAAATAAATACTGTAGCTATTAAATAAAATGTTGTATTCTCCTAACAAATAACGCTGACTCAGTAACAACTAATTTTCCAGTGACATCTCGGTGTCCTAGGGAAAGAAGCTGCATAACGCACTTACTTCAGATCCTGCAGAAGGTCTTTCGCATTAAGCATGGTTATTAAAGAAGTGGTAGCAGCAGGTATTATGATAATGGGTGTCCGTGATCCTATAAAGACCAAATTTTAAACATATCAAGTAATTATTATTAGAATTTATTAGAAGCAATTATACTTGCTCTGTCTACTAGAAAATGAAATTTTCCAAATATATAACTAATTCTTTAGAGCTAAAAAAAACTAGTAGTTTCAACTAACAATAACAGGAAAAATATAATCAATGTGTCTTAGGTCTGGACCAATCTGAACAGGTACAAAGCACATTCATTAATAGCACCAGCAATGGTTTGTAACCTAGTTCAAACACTTTTGTTTCTTGAGTAACTTTAAAATCTTACCTTTCTTCTGATTTGGAGGAGGTCTTGCTTGAGAAACTGTAAGAAGGGGGGGAAAAAATCACAACTGAGTGTTAAAAAAACCATATTCTTATTTTCAAGCTTTTACAATGAAGGCCTAAAAATTGCCAGTATTCACACTACTAGCTATAAAAATTTAAAAAAAAACATACAAAGTATTTTCTCAAGTAATGTTACCTCTCTGCTTCATCAAAATATGAAAATGACTTAGCATTCCTCAGCAATATTTTATGTTCATGGACACTAAGGTTTGATACGAAGGAAATCATCACACAGTAAATGCAAAACCAGTGGATAAAAAGCACACAGCAATTGGCCAAAGGGCCACTGGAGAGCACAGCTATTTCACTGGGAGTTAGGATCTAAATACCCGCTTTCCAAAGAACTTTTGATTTCTTCTTAGGAAGAGACTATTTAAGTAAGGAATAAAGTATATTTGAAGATTTATGTTATACACATGATCTTAATATATCTATGTTACCAATAATATTAACATTATCTTGACCATAATGTTGTTATTAATGGTATGGTAATGATTACATTTTGACATAAATTATGATGTTGATTTCAATTGATTAAATAATTTTGGTTGTGTTAGAAACTATTGTTTTACTTTTTTTTTTATTGGTGGTAGGCCCTTTACCATTTGAACCATGTCTCCAGGCCAGTTTTACTGGTTTTTTTTTTTGTTTTGTTTTTTATGATCAGTCGTGGGGCTTGAACTCTGGGCCTGGGCACTGTCCCTGTGCCCTTCAGCTCAAGGCGAGCATTCTACCGCTTGAGCCACAGCGCCACTTCCGGTTTTCTGGTGGTTTATTGGAGATAGGAGTCTCACGGACTTTCCTGCCCGGGCTGGCTTTGAACCACAATCCTCAGATCTCAGCCTCCTAAGTAGCTAGGATGACAGGCGTGAGCCACCAGCGCCCAGCTCAGTTTTACTGTTTTTAATATGAGATAGACTTCATAAAGCATCAAAAAAAAATTCAATGGCATTATGACAACTGTAACTTAACAGATGAATACTAAAAATAAGAAGTGCTGCAGATTCAATTTTCAGTATCTATCCATGTAATAAAATCTTAACAATGAGGGCTGGGAAGGTGGCTCGGTGGTAGAGCACTTGCCTTGCATGCCTGAGGCCCTGGGCTCGATTCCTCAGCACCACATAAGCAAAAAAGAAAAAAGCCAAAAGTGGCTCAAGTGGTAGAGTACTAGCCTTGAGCTGAAGACCTGAGGGACAGCGCCCAGGCCCAAAGTTCAGTCCCCATGACCGGACCCCCCCCCCAAAAAAAAATCTTAACAATGAGACTCACAAGACACTATGTTGCAAATGAATTTTACAACTTGGAGGGAAGGAAAGGAATGGGGAGGTGGGGAGAGAAAGGATAGTAGGAGAAAAGCAAAGGAGGGGTAACAATTCTCAACAAGAAATGTACTCATTACCTTACTCATGTAACTGTAACTCATTTTTACAATAAAATAAAAAAAAATTTTGGATCTGGTTGTGGGGCCTGAACTGTGGGCCTGGGCGCTGTCCCTCAGTTCTTCAGCTCAAGGCTAGCACTCTACCACTTGAGCCACAGCGCCACTTCCGGCTTTTTTTTTTATTGTGGTGCTAAGGAATTGAACCCAGGGCCTCATACATGCAAGGCAAGCGCTCTACCACTGAGCCAACTTCCCAGTCCCAATAAAATAAAATTTTTTAAAAATCTTAAATGTATTCTATGTGGCATATGCAATGTTGGAGTTGGCTTTATTAAAAAAAAAAACAGAAAAAAAGTTAGAAAACATATTCTTTCTTCATGATGCTGTAATGGAGAACACAAGACACTAAGAATTGTCAAGACCACAGAACTTCACAGCACCAACACTGATTTGTGCAAATTCTTCTATAACTTAAAAAATAATTTAAAAAAAATTGGGCATGCTGAAGGTGTGAGGAGAAGCTATGCTGCCCTGAACAGAACAGGTCACTTAAGAGGTGGGGACAAGGAGGCAGTACATTCCAGGACTGCATGCAAAAGGGAATCTAGTCTGTGTGCTTCTTGCACACGAGGACACGGCTCAGCAATTCTGACACTGTTGTATGTGTATACAGTACTGTGTGCATTTACTGTGCTACATCCACTGGCCTGCACTAAGTGTCTGTGTGCATTTACTGTGCTACATCCACTGGCCTGCACTAAGTGACTGGTGAACAGTTGTGGGAAACTCTAACTCAACTGCCAGGTTTTAGAAACAGATACTAAGAGAATCAAGTAAGACAATTTTCAAGTCAGATACTAAGAGAATCAAATAGACAATTTTCGAGTATGTTTCCTTTAGAGACAACACTCCTGCTACATTTTAACTAATTCTTCAAACTCTTCTGTACAAGTTGTTAGATAATGTGATCTTCCAGGCACAAAAAGCTCACACAAGCACATATTTACTGTTGTCTTTTCATTGTTCCTTTTATTGAGAAAAGCTACTGAAACTTTCTCAAATCATTTCTAGAAAAAGAACTCACAAGTCTGATCATCTATACAGTGTAATCTGGCATATGATATTTTAGTATTTGAGGAAAAATGAATGACAGTACCGTCCCATGAGTAAACAAGAGACAGAAGCTGCTGTGCGTACAACAGAGGGAGGGCGGACAAGGGCAGGAGGAGGGCGGAGGGCGGACAAGGGCAGGAGGAGGGAGGAGGGAAGACAAGGGCAGGAGGAGGGAGGAGGGAGGACAAGGGCAGGAGGAAGGAGGAGGGAGGACAAGGGCAGGAGGAGGGAGGAGGGAGGACAAGGGCAGGAGGAGGGAGGACAAGGGCAGGAGGAGGGAGGAGGGAGGAGGGAGGACCAGGGCAGGAGGAGGGCGGAGGGAGGACCAGGGCAGGAAGAGGGAGGAGGGTGGAGGAAGGACAAGGGCAGGAGGAGGGAGGAGGGCGGAGGGAGGACAAGGGCAGGAGGAGGGAGGAGGGCAGAGGGAGGGAGCCCCTACTTCATGTCACTCAGTTGACCTTTCTTTTTGGTAAAGGCATCAACAAATGGACTCAAGAATTTAAAATAAAGGCTGGGAAAACCAAATGCAAGGAAAGGGCAAAATACAAAACGCCCCAGATGTCAACGTCAGGTGCTAGGGGCTCATGTCTGAAGTCCTAGCTGCTCATAAGGCTGAGACTTAGAGGATTGTGGTTTTACACTACACCAGTCCAGGTAGAAAAGTCTGCAAGAGTCCATCTCTAATTAACTAGCAAAAAAGCAAGACTGGAGGCAGGGCTCAAGTAGTGGAATGCCCCAGCCCAAAACGAGGAAGCGTGACACCTCTGAGCTCAAGCCCCAGTATAGAGACTGTGTGCACGCATGGAAGTGGTGTTCCACGTGTATTGAAAAATAAGGATCACAGGTTTAGGAGGAAAAACAACTCCAGAGGAGTATTCACAAGCTGTCAGGGCAGGGCGCTGTGACACCCGTGCTGGCAAGCTTGACCAGCAGAGGCAAGGAGGCAATGCAAAGCACTCAATAATAAGGGTCTGGCTTTGTTTTTTCAACAAAGATTTATTTTAGTATAACAGGCTAAAGTAGGGAAAGAAACACTGCCTGCTCCCCATGCAGGAAATGGGAGTTTGAGACCCCTTCATAGCCAGGGTCTGCTTCAGATGACTTAAATGTGTACCCGCATTTGCCACTGCCAGGGATATTCCTACGGTAGGCTGGTTGACTGCACTTAGCCTCAGTTTCTTCCTATACACAGAAATAATAATTCCTACATCATGGTAAGTGGTGTGCAGACATTAAAAACAATAATGTTTATTAAGTTCTTAGCCAGATCATGGTATGTATTTACAATTTCCTGACCCTCCAGCTAGAGCTGATGCTAAATGCTGCTGCAGCAACTCTACTACATAGACAGAGTGACTCCAATGGCAAGCCAAGAAAAGGCCATGAGTAAAATCACTATTGCTGCCCTGTTTGACTTCAAATGACTGTACTCTCTACTTAAGTAACATTTATACAGAGCCTATGTAAAAGCCGGTTATTATTAAATGGTATGTGAAATAGTAGTTATGCCTCTCTTTGAAAGGACTCTCAGAGAGGTGGATCCTAAGAATAACACACACACACACACACACACACACACACAGAACATACTAAGAAACAAACTGAATGTGTAAAGTGTCTTTTAGCTAAGATATGTAGAAAAGGCCTCTCAATGAAAGTGACATTTAGGCTGGAATTTCTGAAGGATGAGAAGACGCCAACGTGCAAAGAACAAGTGGGTAAGCTGACCACAGGAATGTGTGCAAATGCAAGGGGTAGGAAGAAACTGCTATGTTTACAGAACTGAAACAATGCAAATGTGCAGACCACAGGGAAGAAAAAAAGGGCAAAAGGTGAACTTGCACGTTTAAACAGGAAGTCAATTCTCAGAGACTTTTGTGCAACATTAAACAGTCAAAATTATGATATTGTTTAGGCTGGTTTTGAACTCCTGGACCCAAAGCAACCTGCCTCCAAGCAGCTGAGACTATAAGCACACAATACTCCAGGAGTCCTAAATTCATATGGGGGAAGTGGAGAAGAGGACATGTAAGGGGATTTGAATGATACCTCATACTTCACTAGGCAAGGGCTCTACCCACTGCCCCTGCCCTTCTTGATGCCGGCTGTTTACAAAAGTCTCTTGTGTAGCTGGAATCACATGTGTGCATCATGTTCAGCCCCTGAGTTTGTATTTTAGAGCTATCACAAAATCCTATCACTTCTAATCCAGAAAGTGACATGATTTGATTTTCATGTCACACTTTCTGCAAAAGAAAATAATGGATTTAGACAAGAGATCAAAAGGGGAGTGTGTGAAAGCACAAAGCTCAGTTGGAACAGGTACAGTAATCTACAATGGTGCTCCTACATCATTCGTGGCTTAGGGATAAGAGGCTTTTTCTCTTTTTAAGTTTCAATCTAAGACCATTGAATTACTTTAAAAAAAAAAAAAAAAGATGATCAAGCCCTTGAATAGTATGACAGTAATTTACCCTTAAATCTCTTGTACCTTGCTGGGGTCCAGAAACAAAAGACAGATGGACTGATATTGGTCTACTGACCACAATTTAAGATGCTCTCTAGATATATGATGGTCTTCAGTTGAGCAATAAAGAAAAAAGCAAAACAAGTAAAGTAGAAATACAGCAAAATAATCTGATAGAACCCAAGGACAGATAAACGAAGTGTAAGGTCCACCCTGGAAGGAGGTACAGACTCCTCCCTCCTCTTGGTTAAGTCTCCACCTCCCTGAGGTCACACTGGCATCTGGTGTGGCCACACCTCCCGGCCCTGGCCATGGTTAAGTCTGGCCTGGCTGTGGTTCAATCCTGGTTTATTCCTGCTGGGTGGGCTTCCAGCTTGACCAGAGGTGGCCTGCAAAGAAACCTTTCCCTTCCTGAAAACCATGTGCTGCCCTCCTTCCTCAGCTGCCAATTTAATTTACCTAACAGAAAGACCTAAGGAAATGTGAAGAAAAGTATGTCTGTGAAGGTTTTAGACTATTAAACAGACTTAATGGAGATACTAGTTATAAAGAAGCAGGAAAGTGTCCACTAACAGATTTGAAGGGAATAGTTTTATAATGTCTGTGTCATACCTAAATGGAAAACAGGTATGTTAATGCATAGGTTGGAGGGTCTAATTGAAAGCTCAGACTTGGAAGTCATCAGCACACAGACTTAAAATTATAGAATAAGAGTAGAAGTATGTCAAACAGTATGTAAGTTATAAACTGTATGGCTGAATAGAAGACCTTTTTAAACAACTAACCTAGAGCTATAGGTCATTTATTGACTTCAGAATATCTATGAACTACAAATGAAAGATTAAGGCTGGAAAAGTGAAGTGTAGAGGTGTGTCCATTAGAAACAAAGTAGGAAAAAACAGGTATTGCAATGGTTTAATCAGGTGAAAAAAACAATAGCCAGCTGCCAGTGTTCACACCTATAAACTGAGGTATGAAAATCATAGTTGGTAGACAACCCAGGGGAAAAAATCCTCACAACTTTTAATGTCCAATTACTCACAAAAAAAAAAACCGCAACTGGAGACATTATTCAAGTGGCACAGTGTCAACCATGAGCAAAAAAGCCAAACCAAGCCGGGCGCTGGTGGCTCACGGCCTAGCGTCCTAGCTACTCAGGAGGCTGAGATCTGAGGATCGCAGTCGGTTAAAAGCCAGCCTGGGCAGGAAAGTCCGTGAAACTCTTATCTCCAATAAACTACCAGAAAACTGGTAGTGGCGCTGTAGCTCAAGTGGTAGAGTGCTAGCCTTGAGCTGAAGAGCTGAGGGACAGTGCTCAGGCCCAGAGTTCAAGCCCCACGATTGACCAAAAAAAGCCAAACCAGGAGTGCTGTGCCCTGGGTTCAAACCCCAGTACTGACACTCAAAAAAGTCTATCTAGGGGGCTGGGAAGGTGGTTCAGTGGTAGAGCACTTGCCTTGCATGCATGAAGCCCTGAGTTCGATTCCTCAGCAGCACATAAGCAAAAAGAAAAAAGCCGGAAGTGGCGCTGTGGCTCAAGTGGTAGAGCACTAGCCTTGAGCTGAAGAGCTGAGGGACAGCGCCCAGGCCCAGAGTTCAGGCCCCACGACCTGACCCCCCCCCAAAAAAAAAAGTCTATCTAGGCTTACCTAGACTTATATTTCTAAATTAAATGGAAAAAATAAGTCCATTTTTAGTTACACTCTCCCAAAGGAATGCCTTAAGGTTGAAAATTTTTAGGAGTTAAAATATTAAATTTAATCCAGGAATTTGCCTAGTACAATAGTACTATGTAAATATTTGACAGAAAGGTGCAATAAAAATTTTGAACTGCTCAAAAACAGAGCACCATGCTTGAGTTACGTCATCCAGGAAGAGATCAGACGTCATTTCCAAATGACACAAGTCTACTTACCAAGCACCAGCCTCACACACTACACATTTACTGCTAAGTGTATTTTTGATATGTGGGGATTTTCAGATTTAAGAAATTCTAAGTGTATACGCACCAAATATAAACCTTCTAAGCCAGGTTTTCTGAGTGGAGATAAGAGTCTCATGGCCTTTCCTGTCTGTAATCCTAGCTAATGGGGAAGCTAAGACCTGAGGATCTCGGTTCAAAGCTAGCTTGGCCAGGAAAGTCTGTGAGACTCTTCTCCAATCAGCCACCAGAAGTGGCGCTGTGGCTCAAATGGTAGAGCACTGGCCTTGCGCTGAAGAGCTGAGGGACAGTGCCCAGGCCCAGAGTTCAAGCCAAAAGGAAGAAAGGAAGGAAGGGAGGGAAAGGAAGAAGTGAAAGGATGGAAATGAGGGAAAGAAGAGAGGGAGAGAAGAAGAGAGGGAGAGAGGGTAGGGGGGAGGGTAGGGGAGGGGAGGGAAGAAGGAAATGTATTCATTAGCTGATATATGTAACTGTAAGCCTTCGGTACAACACCTTTATAATAATTTTTTTTAATTTTAAATAAAGGGCCATTTCTAAGGGGAAGGTAAATCCAGGAAATCATTCCAATTCAAGTGTCAAATAATTTTAATGCAACTTTTGAAGCACTTCTAGGAATACCTAATATCGTGTACAGAGTTTTAGAAGTTGTTTGTATGGTGGGAACATACAACAAATAAAAAATTCAAGTCTGCATTATTGCTACTACATTTTGAGAAATATCACCCAAATTCTTGTCTATGAATTTCCAAATCTTTTTACTTTCTTTATAGTCACATTGAACAGTACAAAAAGAAAAAAGAAAAAAAGAAAGAAGAGGGAGAGAAGGAGGAGGGTATAGGCTAGATGGTATAGGCTAGCACTTGTTATGCTAAATTTAAAAAAAAAATCAAAAAACAAATCTAAAACACTTAAATGTAGTATTGGCATCTCCATGTATCTATAGAGACTTCTTTGGAGTATGGTACTAGGAAATAACTTCAACAATACCCTTGCTTAACACATATTTCTATGTGATTACAGAATTCTAGGTGCTCTGTAATAGAGATGTCTGCAATTCTGTATCAAAGTCAAATAAATATCAGTCTATTGAAATTATGATAATGTATTTCTATAGAAAAAGCCACACACATAATTATCACCAATCTAGTCAGTAAGAAAAGGAATAGACAACCTTCTAAAAACACTTCTGAAAAAATTCTCAACCAAAACAAAAATATCAACCTTTTAACTCTGACTATATCTACTTGTTCCCTACATAGTATGGCCAAAGAACCTATGATAGTGTCAAACAGTGTATAATCCATTTCATCAATGACCTTTAAACCAGATTGAGGAAAACACTACTTCAGTAAAGAATATTAACAAAATCAGGTAAGCTGTTTAAATGTAGCACAGGAAAACAATGATCCTGTACGCATTTCATTTCATTGTGGTTGTTTGTTAAGACTGTATTTTTAATGATACTAACCAAAGTTAAGCAAGCATATCTATAATCACTGGTAGTCAATTAATGTATTCTAAGTAAACTTTCCGTTTCTTTGGCATTATCACACATATAACTAAAAACAGGAAAAAAAATCATTGTAATGACTATGTAGAAGAAAAAAAATCAAAGTTTCATATTTTTACCTGGCCTCGGTACAGGCTGGGCTGCAGGAGTTTGAGTCTTACGGGCAGATGCACCTTCCTAGTAAAAAAAAAAAATAGCCGTAACCATGTATGACAGCACAGTTCCTTTACATAATAGTTAAACATCCAATTATTGCCAAGAAATCCTTCACTGCTCCCATTCAATCATTCCTCTAAACCATAACAATCGAAGATGTAAAATAACTAAATAAAACTATCTTTAGCAGGGCACCGGTGGGTCACGCCTGAAATCCTAGCTACTCAGGAGGCTGACATCTGAGGATTGAGGTTCAAAGCCAGCCCAGGCAAGAAAGTCCGTGAGACTCTTATCTCCAATAAACCACCAGAAAACCAGAAGTGATGATATGGCTCAAGTGGTAGAGCACTCACCTTGAGCTGAAGAGCGCAGGGACAGTGCCCAAGCCCAGAGTTCAAGCCCCACGACCAATCAAAAACAAAACAAAACTATCTTTAATATTACTGGTCCTGAAGTAGAGCAATAAAAATCCTTAGTGGAGGGGCTGGGAAGGTGGTTCAGTGGTAGAGTAGATTGTCCTGCATGCACGAGGCCCTGGGTTTGATTACTCAGCACCACATAAGCAGAAAAAGCAAGAAGTGGCGCTGTGGCTCAAAGTGGTAGAGTGCTAGCCTTGAGCTGAGGGACAGCACCCAGGCCCAGAGTTCAGGCCCCACGACCCACCAAAAAAAAAAAAAATCCTTAGTGGAAAATAAATTTAAATTGTTACCATAGAAAAGACACTATGAGCATGTAGTACTTTTTAATGATTTGCTTAATTGCTGACCACTTTAATACTCTCAGAAATGCCATTACCTGCTTTAAAATCAAGTCAATCTTTTTTCATCTAAAGAGTTCCAAAAATAGAATAAAATAAAATAAAGAGTCCCGAAATGAATAAATGATAAAAAAAAACCCTCATGTTAGCAAGACATAAGCAGTATTATTTGAAAGTCCATTTTAAAAAGATACAAACATTTCCAATAAGTACCTTTAAAATTGGATAAGATTTGTTGTATTTGAATTATGAGCAAATAAGAATACCTTAAAAAGTTAACAGCAAATCTCAACTAATGACTAAGCGGTAACATGTACAAAGAAATAAGCTCCAGGTGAATGAATGAATTATATACTCAGGAACAGATGCCTCCAAAGTGCCTGCAATCACTGGCAAGCAAACCCACGATTCATGGAGAAAACTCAGCACAGCGGACTGAGTGAAGATACAATGCCGGAAGAGGTAGAATGGTAGTAATGTCTTTAATATCTACCATCTTCATTTAATGTTCTTTCTGAAAGGTACATTTCACCCCTAACCATTCATTAAGCACCCTGAACCTTATCACTCTCCACACCCTACATAACCCTCTTTTACCACTGTCAATCACATCAGATTTTTATCAAATCTCAAGTTGTCTGAGTCACTAGAGTATAATTCTGCTTAATTTTTGAGATAAGAAAGAGGGAAAAGCCAGTTGCTGGTGCCTCATGCCTGTAATCCTAGCTACTCAAGGGGCTGAGATCTGAGGATGATGGTTCAAAGCCAGTCCAGGCAGGAAAGTCTGTGAGATTCGTATTTCCAATAAACCACCAGAAAACTGGAAGTGGCACTGTGGCTCAAGTGGTAGAGCACTCACCTTGAGCTGAAGAGCTCAGGACAGCACCCAAGCCCAGAGTTCAAGCCCCAGGACCAACAACAAAAAAAAAAAAAAAAAAAGGAGGAAAGAAAGCCAGAAACAAGACAGAAAACTGACATGACCACAGACTACCGATTTAAGTGAGGAAATTAGGAAGATTTCTGTGGATAATCATGCTGTTGGTCAATGACCATCCAGCTACAAAAGCACATTCCATCATCAGGTAAAGGCCAGTCCAGTCCAGCCCCACCCCGTGCTCTACTCCAGGCCACAGCATCACACCCACACCCGCTCCCAGGAGACAACAGGGCCGCCATCGGGCATTTGTGTTTTCAAAACATTCGCACTAGGAGAAAAACCTCTGCCCAGTTGGAAGAGGAAAGTGTCAGCACACGTTCAGTAACACAGGCAAGCAGGCGGGCTGGGGCATGGGGCTGAGTGTGAGGAGAGGTCCAGGGGGAAGGCGAGGAGGGAAGAGAAGGAGGGGGGAGGGAGAAAAGGGGGGGCACCCTGGAGGCTCACACTTGTAATCCTAGCTATTCAGGAAGCTGAGATCTGAGGATCAGGGTTCAAAGCCAGTCTGGGCAGAAAAGTCTGTGAGATTTTTATCTCCAATAAGCTACTCAGAAAAAGTTGTAAGTGGTGCTGTGGCTCAATGGTAGAGCACTAGCCTTGAGCACAGAAACTCAGGGACAGTGCCCAGGCCCTGAGTTCAAGCCCCAGCACAGGCAAAAACTAAAACTAAAACAAAATGAAAACTTATTCCTAAAGATATAAACAAAATCCAAGTGCCTGTGCAGTGTGCTTGCTGGGTGATGTCTACTCTGAGCACAGCCTTCCCCTTTGCTCAGAAGTGTGAGCCACCTGAACTAAACTTACCTAGCCACATTTTCTCCCCTGAAAGTCTGAAAAGCCACGCTGAAATGGAGTAATCTGAACTGGAGTCTTGGTTTGGGGGATGCCTGTGCACAGGAAGGACCAGAGAACGAGTAGACAGACACAGAAAACGACAAGTAATCATGTAACATCACAGAGAAACAAGGCAAGTTTCCTTGATTTCTGACAGCTTTCCAGTTTCTCAATGTATTCTTTTAAAGGCAAAGATACAATTCTTGGCTTGAGGTTTTATGAAGTATTCCTATATAGTATGATAGTGGATATATTTTTCTTTAACCAAATAGAGTGGTTTTCTGTTACCTGAAAGACAATTTAAAGAACTGTAATCTCAATGGAAGAAAAATACTCTATTTCAATCCCTATCTATTCACAGTAATTAAAACTCTGACCCAGGAATACAATACTAATTTTATTTATAGTCACAGAAAAATTGGAATACACAGTGCTAAGCAGTAACATTACATTACAAAGAAGCAAGATACTGATTAAAAACCTAAATTAATACCAGTTTTTCATTCATCATTCCAGAGTGTTTTCTTGGTTTGAAAACTAGTTCAACAGTAAATGCATCATACCAAAAAAGAAACAAATACAAATAAACTTAAAAGACTGTTTTAAAAGACATAAGGGGATCATGAAAATAACCTCCTTAGTCATTAAACATATTCTAAAATATTTGGCAGGCTAGCACAGTATTTTACATGTGCCACCAAACCAGGTGTATATTCCTCTAGCAGGCAATAAAAGAAAGACAACTGAGATGGTTAACTGTGCTGGGCGCTGATGACCCAACCTTGAAATCCTACTCAGGAGGATGACATTTAAGGATCATGATTTGAAGTCAAAGACAAGCTAGGAAAGTCCAGGAGGCTCTTACCTCCAATTAGTAACCCAAAACCTACCAGTGGAGCCTGTGGCTCAAGTGATAGAACACTAACCTTAAGCACCAAAGCTCAGGGCCTGGGTGCTCAAGTTCCGGGACTAGTACTCTCACCCCACCCAGCCCCCACAAAAAACTAGAGGTGAACAAACTTGGTAAGTGGCCCCTGCAATCCACAGTGCACCTGGATAGAACAAAGGGCAGGCTGAGACAGCACCCCCTGTATCCTAGCAGAGAGCCACTCTCCTGCTTCGGCTCTGCGTGCTCAGGCCTTTGGGGCTCCTGGGTCTGCACCAGGCAGCCTGTAGACCCTGTGCTTCTGAACCAGTGTTTTAAAATAACTCAAAATACAGAGCAGTGGGTGAGAAGCACTGATCCGAACTACTCCAAACTCTTGTAAGGCTTTCTGAAAGTGTTTCTGCTACCTCATGTGACAAGTTCATCATCAAATACAGGCACATGAAAAATAGAGGGTAACATTAATCTTCAGAGTACGAACTCGTTTAGGCTTAGGCCCTATCCCTAGGACTTCTCATTATGGACATATAAACATTCCAAAATCTAAAATCTGAAAAACTTCTGAGTATGAGCTGTCAAGGGCCCTTAAAATGGAGTTGGTTGACACCTGTTGATTACATCTCAGGCATATCCTCAACTGCATCTTTAAACTGGGCTGCTAATTGGCAGATGTAAACCAGTCCTTGAAACATTGTTAACTTCTGTGACCAGTACAATGGATCCCTTTCCCTAAATTACCCTGAGACTCAGATGACCCCAATCCCTCCAATCCCTTTCTTTTCCTTTTTTCTTTCCTTTTTTTCGGTCAGTTGGGGGCTTGAACTCTGGGCCTGGGCGCTGTCCCTCAGCTCTTCAGCTCAAGGCTAATGCTCTACCACTTGAGCCACAGCGCCACTTCCAGTTTTCGAACTGGTTTACTGGAGATCAGAATCTCATGGACTTTCCTGCCCAGGCTGGCTTTGGGCTGGTTTTGAACCACATTCCTCAGATCTCAGCCTCGTGAGAAGCTAGGATTACAGGCATGAGCCTCCTGTGACCAGATGGTTGTGGATTTTGTTTTTGTGCTGGTCCTGGGGCTTGAAATCAGATCTGAGCATTGTCCCTAGACTTTTCCACTCAAGGATAGTGCTCTGCCTAATTGAGTCATAGCTCCATTTTGAGCTTTTTGGTGGTTAACTGGAGATAAAATTCTAACACTTTCCTCCTGGGCTGTCTTTGAACCATGACCATGAGATGTCAGCTTCCTGAGTGTAAGCCAGCGTAAGCACTGGCACCATGTCCCAACCCCTTTCTAAGCAAAATCGCTTCCACCTCTACTAATGCCTAACGCACGAGCCAAACTCATTAAAATCCAAAAAGAAGAAAAGGAGAAAATACAACTAACATTTTAGACAACATTTGGAGCACTTTTCTTTCAAGATTACCTGAACCTGTGTTTTCCCACACCTCAATACTAGTTAGCTCCAAATAAGTGTGATTTTCTTTGTTCTCAACTAGGTTAATTTTGTTCTCATAAAATCTACAACGCATTAACGTGGCTTGTCACATAAGTGATAAACATATAGAAATAGATGTTGTTGGCTTATTTTCTACGGAGAATGTAGACTAATACAGCAATTAAAATTGAACCACAAGAAAGTAAGAGCCAGGGTCTGTAATAATTAATATCAGCCAGCAGTTAAAAACAAAGTGGGGGACATACTTTACTCAATGGTATAGATTTGCTTAGCATGCTTCATATCTTGGGTTCCACAGGGTAGGGATGGGGGTGGGGGGGCAGGGCTGCTGAGGGGAAGGAGGAAAAGAGAGTAAGACAAATGCACACTCTTAAAAGAGACATGTTGAAAGCATGTCTCTTATCTAGTGACTGAAAACTTCCATCCACATGAGTGAACCTGAAATGTTACAGAAATGGAATTCGCACCAACGGCTCACACCTGTAATCCTAGCTACTCAGAAAGCTGAAATTGGAGGATACTATTTCGAAGCCAGCCTAGGCAGGAAAGTCCATTTGAGTCTTGTCTCCAATTAATCACCCAAGAAAGTATAAAGTGGAGTTGTGGCTCAAGAGGTAGTGTGCTAGCTTAAGCAAAAGATGGTCAGGGTTAGTGGGACAGTGCCCAAGCTCACGACTGGCGGGAGGGAGGGAGGGAGGGAGGGAGGGCGGGGGAAAAAAGAAAAGAGAGAAAGAAAACGGTAATTAGCAACAGTACCAAGCATGTGTATTGATCTCCTTCAATATCAAGGTCTTCTGGACAAATCATCATTCTTTTTTCCCCCTTTGGTGTATGCACTAGAGCCTGAACTCCGGCCTTGTGCTCCTGCTTGGCTTTTTCACTCAAAGTTAGACAGAGCTCCACCACTTGAGTCACATCACTTCCAAACAATTCTTTTGCGGAGCTCACTGAGGATTAATCAGGGGATTATCTTTCTTCATTGAAAACAGGATTATTTTATGTTTACAGTAGCATGGCTGAGGAAGAAGGTCCACTGAATCATTTCAGTAGCTTAATGGGTCCAAATTCATAATGGAGCTAGCAGGCAGTATTAACGAAGCTGAAGAAACCTGATATACAAATCTTGAGTTCCCAGTTCTAGCCTTGCCTTTGCCACATGAAATAGGACCTTTAGGAAAATATTGACCTCACAGGAACTTAGTTACTTACCGTATTTGTAAAAGGAAGACAACAGCTTTTGCAAAGGTTAAGTTCTGCTCCGATTCCATTTTTGTTCTTAATAGATTAAAACTTAAAGACATATCTAATGTGGTTTACTTCAATGACAGTAAGATTAAAGTCACATAAAATTTTTGATGTGAATAAAAATGCAATGTTCTTCTGCTTAATTAGCTCTGTATACCAAAGGGTATGTGCTTCAAATTGTTTTTCTGATATATATAAAACACCTTTTCGCCTGCTTTGCAAAGTTTCTTTATATTAATGACTCCATACCTAATCAGTCCATAAACAGTCATACTGGAGATGGTCATATGAATTTAGAATCAAGCATGCTAGCTGCTTCCTCCTTTCTTCAAAAAAAGGCCTTTGAAAAAAATATTCTATTTACTTACTACTAAAACTTGATTTCCCTTCTTATCTACTGTAACTATTTTGGTAAGAAACTTGCTCTCTGATACTAATGAATTCTGGCTATGACTCTTTAAGAAGTCCTAAAGGGATGTTGACACCTGAATTTTCATTGCTATATACACGTTGTTGTACACTAGTAATGTTAAAATAAATAAATAAATAAACTAGTAATGTGTTGGGTCTGAATAAAAATAAGATGGCAAACACTGACACTTGTGGTCATTCTGAGATTGCCAATCTGCAGTTGGGCTAGTTCATCCTTCGTAGGTTCAAAGAAAAGTAAAAGTGGTTCACATATCATTAATGGACTTCATGGGGAAATTTTAAACTTTCAAGAAATATTTAATTTTTCTTTAAAAAGCAACAAATATTTACTAAAATTAAACAACCAAAAATAGGTCATTCATCCAAATCTTTCATATGATGAAAAAACTACATCTGTTTGTGGGTGCACACCCACATCAAGACCTCACTCAGCATGCTTGCCCACAACTGGCACTCTGCCAGACCTATAATCTTGTACTTCACTGGTTAATTGGAGATTGAATCTCTCTTTTCTGCTAGAGAAGGCTTAGAACTTAACCTGACAGAATTACAGAAATGAGTTGCTAGGGTTACAGGTGTGAGCCACTAGTACCCTTCAGATGACATTTTGTTTTAAATAAAAGGAGTGTAAACTCCAAATATTACTATGCAAAATTATCTAGAGGCCTCCACAATTGAAGCATCTAAGTACAATGTCAAATTGCAGTTTTCAGAGTAGTATGGTGCAGATTACATCTGACCCAAAATATTAAGAATCTTAACAATGAAAAGATAGCTAGCTAGTTCTGATGAGTATCATCAGCTAAAATATGCCTTAGATTTCAGTACCAATGACTCTAACATAGGAGTAGAAACCAATGGAGGGAGGAGTAGATTATGTCTCTCTTGTGATATTGTTCAAGGCCATCTTCTGTTGCTTGGTGTTTCAAGTTTCTTTTGCCAAGGACATACAGCTGAATCTGAGTTGTACTCAATCTAACTAGATGGTGCCCAATTTGAGGTTTACATCTGATCGATCACCTTAATAACCATTCAAAAACTATTAACTACATGAATAAAGGAATAATTATTTCTAAACACAACACAAACTAGGAATTAGAAGATATCAATCACAAAGTTCCTTCAAGGCACCCCTCCAGGGTGACATCCATCAAGAAAAGTCAAAGCTATGGGACTATGTTTCTGGTTTATAACATTTTTTTCTCTCTCTCATAGTAATCCTTCTATTATTTCTAGAAAGTCACATAATAAATACTAGGATAAAATATAATTAAAATCTTTATTCATTTGAAATAATATTTTGTAGAGACAAGTGAGATGAAAAATACATGTAACTATAAACATATAGGCAAAGCTCCACAATTATAGTTTCTGAGAGTTACTGTCCCTGAAGTATCAGGGGAAAACTGAGAATTTATTTAAAAAAAACAACAAAAAAACAATCTGTCACTGTGTTCACAGAAAAACAAGAAACAAGTTCCCAAAATACTCAGGAGACTAGCCACACTGAGTAGGAATTCCAAGTGCCTAATACAAAATCTGTTTGTGGCAACTGCCTAGACCACCTTGAAATAGCAGGATAAGCAAACGTAACTGGGACAAATCTCATCACAAAGAAGATGTTTTCGTGAAAGTACACCACATTATATCATTGTTGAATTTTATGATACATGTACTTCTAAAAAAATACAAAACAGTTAATACTGAAAAGCGATTGAAAGTTAACTTTTCTGCCTTTAAGAACAGTAGGAACCACAGAGAACAAAGTCAGTAAACTGTCACACTATGTGTGGAGCGATCCATGACAGTCCATTGACATAAACAGAGGAGAAAAACCTAGGCTACAGATGGAAGATAAAAGCATCGATGAATATTAACCCACACCTTATCAAAATCAAAGCGGTTAAAAGAAAAAACATCTTCAAGACCAGGCATGCACTGAAGAGGTTAACTTAGTCCAGGGTATATTAAAAAGGTGGTATTTGTTATACCTTACAGAAGCGTGTAAGACACAGGACAGCCACCATCTAAGACGGAAAATATTTAGAAAGCCTATGCTTTGTTTTTAAAGGAATTAAACTGTAAGAAAACCATAATCTCCATTTCATAATCATTCCATTTTCATACGATCCACTCATCACTACACTTGTACTGAATATATAGGATCTGTCACACAGAAGCAAAATCTCTAAGCCTCTCCCTACCTTAGGCTTTTAGTCAAAATGAATGCAAACAATCACGTGGGATTCAGCCAAGCAGTGACGTTCAATTCTGCTCTGTCAGAGAGAGCATCTGTCAAGCCCACATTTAAACTGCTGCCTGCCTGTGCGGCAGCTGAGGAAGCGTGGATTTCATATTACAGCCTAAAACCCCCGTGAAACTGCTCAAAAATCCTTCCTGCAGCTGCCAGGCAACAGCGAAAGGAGGGGAAAACCCTGCTCTGTCCCCACACACCCGGAGCTCCAGGTTCGGGCTCTGCTGCTTCACAGTGCAGCTCAGTGTTATCACTAGAAATATGGATACTGAGAAGAGAACACAGCACTGCATTGTCCAGCCAGGAAAACAGCAGATGTAAAAAGCTTCAATGCATCAACTGTCGGAAAGAGTCAACAGTGCTCCAAATAGAACGGCCAGCTCCGGCTCTTTTGTTTAACAAAGGAGAGAGAAAATGAAAGAAAGGGAAAATCTCAGAAGACGCGGACCCATATGAACCAGGAGGATAACTGGAAGACACACAGACAGATGGACACTGGACACTGGAAAGCGACCGTGGCTGGGGGATGTGCGCATGTTCCATAGCATCTTTCTGCCAAAAGTGTGTTCAGTGGCATAATCCTCTCCACACAAACGGCCTGACCAAGGAAGGTATGTCGCTATCTTGTGTGTGATGCTGGTTTAAATGTGTTGCCTTTGTGTGGCCCTGGAGGCACTGGGAGTTGATAAGCAAGTTCATACAGCTCACTGCCCTTGAAACTATTAAAGGATTCCTAAATATACGATTTTAAAATCTGTTTTGTTCAGAAAACAAGCTGTCACTGCTTTCTTCAGCTAATATGTAGCTTGAAGTAGCTCTGGAATATCAACATAGGAGAGAAAAAATAATAATAACTAGGTATAGATAAAGAATTATCCGAGAAAATAAACTTAACGTCTGTAGCCCTTTACAGTAAACATAGCAATCCTCTATTAAATTAGGTCAAATTGAATACTGATCTAGTAAATTAAAGAGCACTCTTGAAAATGGCTATCAAGAGACAATGCAGTGAAATTACATTAAGCAGTATCAAGCATGGTCTTTGCATTAGAAGCTTGGCTGAGAAGTCCTTTTAAAACAAAATCTTAATAGCTCATAGAAATGATGTCCTTCCTCTAACATCCACCTCCCCAAATAAAGGAAATAGGTAATAAACACAATCTAAACACAATCTAAGAACAGGCCAACAAATCTTAGGTATTACTGAGCTACAGGATCACATAGGTTGTATGAGTTTATGCACAGCATAATACCACAGTGGTCACATGTTATTATAGATCCACGAACACAACTTTAAACAAAGAGATGTCAATAGTGTTGTTTTTGTAAAAAAAAAAAAAAATACCCTAATTGAATCTGTACACTTTCAGTTTAGGTAACAGACTTATTCTCAATGATCAAATCTAAGATTATTTCCTAAGATCATCTTAAAAGTAAAATAATAACATAAAAAGATACTTTAGATATAAAAAAATCCACTAACAGCATTACAAGATCAAACAATTCATATAAATGTAGCTAATGTCTTCTAGGCTATATTACCATGCAGTAGTAAACTGCTGCCATTCATGTGTATACAGGACAAAGATAAATCAAACTATTTTAGCAACAATACTCATCAAAATAGCAACTCAGGACTCAAGAAGTCAGGTACAATTTTCCAAATCTACCCAATCTTGGTTTTTCCCAGCTTCGTACAATTCATTACCCTATTATTTAAATAACTGCAAAAGGCAAACATTTTTGACAGGCAACCATTGTATTCCAAAATTAAGATTAAACAAATTCAATATTAATTCTTAATCATAACCACAAATGGTTATCTTAATAAAATTTAAAATCGTGAATAAAAATATAGTTATAAAAATCAAGTCCCTCTTGGTACTTTGATCAATGTTATAGTCACCAATTAAGCAGTTTTATAAGCTAGATATTTCAAAATGCAAGTTCAGAAGTTTTTCTATAGAAGCAGCACTTACATCTAGACCTTTCCACCAAACTAAATACATTCAGTTTTGAAAGTCAAATGACTAAAACTCTGTATATGTGAGAGAGAACCACATTTTATGACAGCATGCTTACAAACTTCATAAGATATAAGTACATATTTATATTTTGAAATGAGATAAATGATAGCTATTTCTAGTCTAAAAATATAAAGTGCAAAACTGCTATTTTTGTATACCAAGGTATTTAACTTTTATGTCTTCTCACTTGGCAAGAATTAAAATACAACAGGCATTAACTAGAGAATAAGTTTATCATTTAGTTAAAGGAGAAATAGTTACTTCAATTTTGTTTTCTCTTTAACAGTAAAATTATGGAAAATACCTGAAAACTTGTAACAAAAAATTTTGAAGGCCAGAGTTTCACATGAGTTTCATTTTATCAATGGGAGATTAACAAATAGGCTTATGTGGATTTCAAGCCTCTTCAGATTAGTATTAATAAAATCACAACTATCATGAATAAAACGTAACACCATGTTAATCACATGGTATTATAAAATTATATTAGAATCACAATTATACACTTATACTAGAGTACAATTTGCTGTTTTCTCTGCTGGGAAATACTTTGGAATTTATTAGTACTGTACTACCTTCATTCACTTCTTTAGTCTTCTATTCATATCTGATCTTATATTTGTTGCTTCTTAAACAATGAATTTATACTTTTAGAAGACATACACACAAAAAAAAACCTCAGCCAGGTTCTAAACACTACTGTAACAACAGATAGCAAGCTGATAGATATAAATTATGTCTAGAATACTTGAAGCAGATCAAATAAACCTGTTTCTTTTCAATTTATATACATAGTCCTCATATGCTCCAGTCTCTTTATGAGGGAATGCCATTACTATTTACAGGATATATCATTTTCTAATAAAAGCTTTAAAATAATTTCTTAGACAGAATGGTCAAGTATTTGTAAGTATAAATAGGAAAATACAGTTTCTAAATCAAAATACTCAGCTCTAATATTTTCAGCTTACTCATAGAACAGAAATTTTTGTTGATACAGAGACTATCCTTGGTTTTTATTATAGCAATGTGATATTAAAATTCTTGTAAGTAAACTAATAGTGAACTAATTTTTTAAAAATTCCAAATTATGAAAAAAGGATTGTACACATTTATCAAAACTTTTTGGTAATTTTTATTTGATATTATGATTGTTAAAAGCAAATTTAATTTCAGAAACTAGAAATTATCAAATGCTGGTGTCTGCTGTTACACTTTAGAGATTTATTCAAATTCCTACCTACTTGCTCCTCCTAGTGGCTACTGCCAGAATAGCACTTTCATTCATATACATCCAACACTCAATATTTTCAATGTGCCTATCATTATGCATGTGAATTTTATTCTACAATAATTCAGTGATACCGAGATTCACATGCTATTACTACCTAAAATAATTCATAGCACAGATAAATATTTCGCTGAGCATGGGTCAGTATCACAGGCTAAACCCATTCATTTACATGAATAATTTCAAATAAACAAATGTTCCCAATTAAAACCTTACTAGTTTTTTTTAGCTTAAAGAAATAATATTCAGGAAGAAATTCAAAATTAAAAGTACACACTCTTTAGTATCCTATCCCAAAAGTTTGTTTCTCTTCCTTTCATGCAATTCAATTCCAGTTCATCTACCTGTATTTTCCCCCACCACCCAAATCCTTGGGCCAGAAAAATCTAAGAATTCAGAGAAAGAAACTGAAAATAAACAAGTTTATGCTGTACACTGAAAAGGTTTTTTTTTAGTATCTGACATCATGAACCTCTCATTCTGACATTTCTTTTTTTTTATTAATTAAGCAGTTGTACAAAGGAGTTGCCATTTCTGACCTGCTAATTTGTTTTTAATATAGGGGGCTTTAAGTGTTAGCCTACAAGAAGACTAAAAATTAACAAATCCTCTGCATCCAAATACAACTTAACTCATGATTTAAAATGTATTTTGTAGAAATTTGATTTTTAAAAACCATAGGTAACTAAAGATAGTTGCTTGCTGTCTTTTAAAGTCAACCTTAAAATGCAAGGACAATAACCTTTATATACTTCCTATCTGAAGTGGAAGGTTAAATTAGCAGAGTACTCAAAACTGTTAATCATTTATTACTGTCTAAAAATCCTACCCTGAAGTTACTGGACCCTGAAATTCATTTTGACAGGTGCATCTTCTCATTGACTTCCTCAGCACAGTGGGGGCCAATGGAAACATGCCCAGCAGTGTACTGTGACTAACAGAACTCTGCTATAATCAACCTTGCACCGTCTGTCCCATGACTGTTACATGACCATTTTACAAAAAAGGCCGCTGACAGAGCACCATACCATCAATGGATGTCAAATCCATTTTAATTAATGTCAATAAATTTTCCATCTGCTCAAGGCCTTCTTACACGGCCTCTGTCAGGAAGCTAGTAACATTTTTCTCTTCTACACACATACAACCTTTAAAGTTTTAACCTAGATCAAAGATACAAATGACCAGAGCTACTGAAACAATGACATAATTAGAAGAAAAAAAAATCTATCGCCTCCCTGCTCCCCCACCAAAAAGGAAGAAAGAAATTAATCCTGTTCTCACTGTACTGCCAAAAGGAAGTAAATCACAGGCTCTGCTTCTGGGCTAGCCTATGTTCACAGCTTTAAAACTTCTTCCTAGTTGCCTTAATTGTATTAGTATCCAGAGCCCCCTTCAGCCCATTTTGAGAGCTATGGCACTTCTAAACCGTTATGCTTCGTCTTTACAGAATGACTGCCAGGGACACGTGGCTGAACTGAAAACAGATGACAAAGAGCAGCACTGACTCAGGAGAAAAGCAGTATTTGGGGCCACCGATACCTCACACACCATTACTGGGTTATTTACAACATGCTTCAGTGGAGAAGACGGCACTGCTGCTTTGCAAAGATGACCTGGAATGCTAAGAGGTCTCTGTTCCGAACCCATCTTATCGGGGTGCTTTCCCTGGTGTTTCTTTTTGCTATGTTTTTGTTTTTCAGCCATCATGACTGGCTGCCAGGGAGAGCTGGATTCAAAGAAAATCCTGTGACATACAGTTTTCGAGGATTTCGTGCCACCAAGAGTGAGACAAACCACAGCTCTCTTCGAAACATTTGGAAAGAAACAGTCCCTCAGACTCTGAGACCCCAAACTGTAACGAACTCCAATGACACAGACCAGACACCACAAGGAGTTACAGGACTGGAGAACACACTCAGTGCCAATGGGAGTATTTACACTGAAAAGGGTACTAGGCATCCAAATGCTTATCACTTCAAATATATCATCAATGAGCCTGAAAAATGCCAGGACAAAAGTCCTTTCCTAATACTGCTAATAGCTGCAGAACCTGGACAAATAGAAGCTAGAAGAGCGATTCGGCACACTTGGGGAAATGAAAGTCTAGCACCTGGTATCCAAATAACACGGATTTTTTTGTTGGGCCTAAGCATTAAGCTAAACAACTACATTCAACATGCAATATTGGAAGAAAGCAGACAGTATCATGATATAATTCAACAGGAATACTTAGACACATACTACAACTTGACTATTAAAACATTAATGGGCATGAACTGGGTTGCAACATACTGTCCACATATTCCTTATGTCATGAAAACTGACAGTGACATGTTTGTCAACACTGAATACTTGATCCACAAGTTGCTGAAGCCAGACCTGCCTCCACGGCACAACTATTTCACTGGGTACCTCATGAGAGGCTATGCGCCCAATAGAAACAAGGACAGCAAGTGGTACATGCCACCAGACCTCTACCCAAGTGAGCGCTATCCTGTCTTCTGTTCCGGAACTGGTTATGTTTTTTCTGGAGATCTAGCAGAAAAGATATTTAAAGTTTCTTTAGGTATCCGTCGTTTGCATCTGGAAGACGTATATGTAGGGATCTGTCTGGCTAAGTTAAGAATTGATCCTGTGCCCCCGCCCAATGAGTTTGTGTTCAATCACTGGCGAGTTTCTTATTCAAGCTGTAAATACAGCCACCTAATTACCTCTCATCAGTTCCAGCCTAGTGAACTGATAAAATACTGGAATCATTTACAACAAAATAAGCACAATGCCTGTGCCAATGCAGCAAAGGAGAAAGCAGGCAGGTATCGCCACCGTAAATTACACTAAAAAAGAAGATTGTTGGCTCAAGTGTACAATCTGTAAATAGTGTTAAAAAAGCATGTATAGTAAAAAAAAAAAATCGATGACATCTATAGGACAAGTTTTAGTTAACAATTCACCACATAAAAGAATGATTTTATTTCTGAAGGTAATTCTTAATACTGCAATGTTATATGATTTTTAAGTACCCCAAAAGAATCTATTTTAAAAAATGTATAAGGGGATTATGTGTATTAACATGCAATAACAAGCATGCATCATACATCAATGGGTCAAGTCTTATATTGGGGCCAATAAAATGTATCTGCATACATTTTCCATAAAAGTTTTCATTTGAAAAAATGAAAGAAGTCAAAAGACTTCATTTTAGATTTGACTTCTCATCTGAATATAAAAACTAAATGTAAATAAAACACTATTATCAATTTTAAGGAAACTTTGTAATTGTGTAAAGGACAAATTTTCAGACCTATAATAGAGTTCTAAAGACTACATTCATGAATTAAGATTTAGTTGAGTTATTCCATAAACTCATTCAGAAAGTTCAGCTGTTTTATCAATGCAGTTCTCATCTAAGGATTTACTTTTTTAAAGTAATTGAGATACTCAATTTAATATACATTTTGGGAAAGTTATTTTGACATAACATGATTAAATGTGAAAAAGTCTCAGGCTCAAGTTTTTATTTTGAAAAGTTATTAAATGCTTCAAAACAGGTAAATTTTCTTTGATTGGTATTAAGAGCCATTCTAGTAATTCAATGCTATTTGATTAGATTGAATGCTGCACTCTTCAAGTATACCACTATTTAACTTCAACTCCACCTGATGTTTGTAAAACCCAATCATGTTCCTCAAACAGGAGAACATAATCACTTAAAAGGCATCAAGAAGATGCACTGTTGAAGAAAGAATGCAATAGCAGTTTCATGCAATACATTTTGACACATCTAATAAACTGCAACATGCAGGAAAGCTTCTTCACTGGCAACAGGTGTGCAGGTGCCGTACTTATTTTATGGCACCTATTTCTGAGTCCCAAGTTTACAAGCCTACAGTTCTTAATTTGGTAGATGACAAATATTCTACATCACCAATTAAAAACTTCCAGGGAAGGTTAGGGAGAAGAGTTAAAAATGTTTGATGAGCACTTGATTCTTGGAAGAGCAATGTATACAATGCACTTTTATCAAGTTTTTAATAAAAAGGTTAAACAGAAGAGCCTTCATTGAGTGTCATGATACAAATATTTTCACAATTTGTTTGGCTGCATTATGAATTTTACAATCAAGACATACTAAACCATTAACTTTAAAAAAGTATTTTTATCCCCCATAAGGACATATATTTCTCAAACTTAAGTCAGGATGTTTCTTATCTAAATTCTAGTAACAATCATTTTTATCCCTGATTGCATTATGAAAGGATAAAGAACCAAAATAGCTTAAAATCATGAAAACTGTTTAAGTTTCTACTATTTAATATGCTGATTCCTACTTCTATTTACCTCTTATTTTCTAATTAGTAGCCTAAAGTGTTCTATTCTACATGAAGTAATTCCAAGTAAGTTGTGAAACACTCCCAACTACTGATTCCAGCCTATTTTTCGTTTATGTTATATACTGCAGAATGACCAACATTACTAAGCAAAACTCATACATACAAGGATAACCCAGTCAGATCGATACTTACTGAAAATCAAAAGACTATCAGGGCGGAGAAATTCCCTCTCATTTATACCTCAGAAATTTTTTTTTAAAAAAAGGGTGGGTGGAATGTGTGTGAGTGTACACAGATGTGTGTTCAGGTGTGTAACCACAAACGCTATTTGTACAAATTATGATCATAGTAAGTATAGAATCTTTTAAGAACAATATTTTCTTCTGTAAAAATTCAGGCTTAAGAAAAGACTTATAAAAATGTATTTCAAAAATAAGCACAGCCAAAAAAAGCTGGAGATGTGGCGCAAGCAGAGTCTAGCCAAGCACAAGGTCCTGAGTTCAAATCTCAATAACTTTTACCATAAGTTAAAAAGCAGACACGAAAAACAGACTTCTTAGCAGACATTTAAATTTCTTTTTCAGGTATAAATTTAAAATTATTTCTATGTTCCTAATAATTCCACCTTGAAAAATGATGATAATGTGCTAACATTCTGAGCGCTAGAATGGCATTAGAGTAGGGAAGTTTCTTAGTAAATCCCCAAATCTGTATTTTGCAGGGTGGTGGTGAATACCTATAATCCTTGCACTTAGGAGGCTAAAATAATACCAAGCTCAAGGGCAGCCTGGGCTACAAAAGTATATCCTGTCTCTCAAAAAAAATTTTATTTTAGCTAAAGTAAATAATCTACAATTATTTATTATGACACGTCACTCTCTACTATTTGCAAGTTAACTGAGCTGAGAAAGCTAATATTTAAATATATTACCAATTGTTAACTGTGTTTTATTTATCCAAGTACTATGTAATTTTTGTATGCATAAAAATATAATTTTAAATGACAACACTGGATAAAGAAAAAGATTACAAAATCAACTGTGTATGTTATGCTCGGAATGTGAATAGATATTTTAGAAGGAAAATACCAAAACTTTGTTTACAATGTTAGTTTACTAAGATTAGATATAATGAAATCCTAAGTCACCTCAATAGTTCACACTTCTCATCTCTTTTTTGTACATGGAACAACCTTATATTCTAACCTAGAACCTTATTTATATCTATTTCCAAGGAATTCTACAAAACTAATACCAACAACCAAAGAAAGACTACTTACTAACTATGCAAGCAGGGTACTTGTTAGTATGTTACATATAGTACTTCATATAATCTTCATAGAAACATTAGGAGACAAGCAAGACTCCCCCAAGAAGTTAAAGCAAAGCTGGTAAAAAAAGAGATTTGATGGGGTAGAGGGGGAAGGGTGCTGGGAAGGTGGCTCAGTGGTAGAGCGCTTGCCTTATATGCCTGAGGCCCTGGGTTCGATTCCTCAGCACCACATAAGCAAAAAGAAAAAAGCCAAAAGTGGCGTTGTGGCTCAAGTGGTAGAGCACCAGCATTGAGCTGAAGAGCTGAGGGACAGCGCCCAGGCCAAGAGTTCAGGGCCCCACGACCAGACCCCGCCCCCCCCCCAAAAAGACATTTGAGGGAAGACATTTCAAAGATCATGTTGTTAACCATTCCACTGTTCTACGTAATATCTCACAGGTGATGCTCCAAGATGGTCTGCAAAGCTAATAAGCACATGGCCTACTCCTCTATTCTCCTGTTCTCTGCTCCTTCTTCATTCTTTGCCAAGGACCTCCAAGTCTCATAGCTATTCGCACACTAGACTATGGCTCTAGATGTTAGGTACAAAGAAAGAAAAGGAGGGAACGTGCAATTTCCTAATACTTTTTTTTTTTTGATCCAGTCGTGGGGCCTGGACGCCTGGGTGCTGTCCCTCAGCTCTTCAGCTCAAGGCTAGCGCTCTACCACTTGAGCCACAGCACCACTTCTGGCTTTTTTCTTTTTGCTTATGTGGTGCTGAGGAATCGAACCCAGGGCGCCTCATGCATACAAGGCAAGTGCTCTACCACTGAGCCATCTACCCAACCCACTAGTACTTTTCTCTAGTAGTTGAGGAGTGGTACCACAATCACTGAAAAATAATGACCGTTATCTCTTGCTCCTTTTGGCTCTGACATGCATCTGTAAATAGCTGGTAGTACTTGGAAAAGTATAAAAGGTGCTCCTTTTGAAGTACTATGGGTAGTTTCTTTTTCATAGACAAAACTAACAGTGCATTTGCCCACTACACTATTCAATCAGTTATTATTTGTGGTAAAATGGCTTCTTTTCCCTTTACCATACAAATGGCTGAAACAGTACTGAAGCTAAAGTACCCACCTGCCTCCACGTATTTACTACTCTATTTAAATTTCAAACTAGGGCTGGGAAGGTGGCTCAGTGGTAGAGCGCTTGCCTTGCATGCATGAGGCCCTGGGTTCGAATCCCCAGTACCACATAAGCAAAAAGAAAAAAGCCAGAAGTGGCGCTGTGGCTCAAGTGGTAGAGCGCTAGCCTTGAGCTGAAGAGCTGAGGGACAGCGCCCAGGCCCAGAGTTCAGGCCCCATGACCAGACCCAAAAAATAAATAAATAAATAAATTTCAAACTAAATTTCACAGGTTTGGCATTTGAACCTAACTTTAGGATACTTAATAGAATCCTAAACCCTAAAAAGAGAAAATACCAATAACCAATAGGATTATAGACTAGTAAACAGAAAGCTGTAACAAAATATGTAAAAACGTATGCTTCCATAACATGTAAAATAATGCTGTCATAAATGAATTTTAAAGACTGGGGGTGTGGCTCAGTGGTAGATCATGTGACTCGAAAAGCCCTGAGTTCAAACTCCCAGTACTGGCCCACAAAAAAGAAACTAAAAATAAATTTCTGCAGGAGTTGTAGTATTAATGGCAAGACCACAAGAGTCAATGGGTTCCAGAACCCTGCTTTTGTCTGAACAGTACCTCCAGTCTGTGTGTGTCTGTGCCGGTCTTGGGGCTTGAACTCACGGCCTGGGTTCAGTGCCTGAGCTTTTTGCTCAAGGCTAGTGCTCTACCACTTTAGCTACAGCTCCACTTATGGCTTTTTGGTGACTAACTGGAGATAGATGTCTCACAACTTTCCTACTCAGGCTGGCTTTGAACCACAATCCTCAAATCTCAGCCTTCTAAAGAGCTAGGTTTACAGGCATGAACCACCAGCCAGTGCCCAGCCACCAACTGTTTTTTATACTTTGAATTAAGTCAGGCCAAATGAATGCTCATTTTTAAAAAATGGAAAAGTGGCAACTACATCAATGATTCTTTCTTTTTTTGTTTTTTTGCCAGTCACGGTGCCTGAACCTCTGCTCTTCAGCTCAAGACTAGCGCTCTACCACTTGAGCCACAGCACCACTTCCAGCTTTTTCTACTTATGGGGTGCTGAGGAATCAAACCCAGGACCTCATGCATGCAAGGCAAGCCCTCTACCACTGAGCCACCTTCCTAGCCCCCATCAATGATTCTTGAACTGAAATAACTATGACCACAGAAAGAAAAACATTTGCTTATTATGGAAGAGTTAATAGGCTCTACTAACTTGGTGAACTGAAAAAACTCAGAAAATCAGTCAAAAATAAAATTAAGATAACAAACCACGTAAGAACCTACTACACTATATGGGAACAACCTAATCCACAACAGTAGCATGTTAAAAAATAAGAAATAACAAGAAAGTGGAGAATTCAATAGGTCAAATTAAACTTTTATTAAGAGAATTTTGTGAAACCTCTTATAATACAGATAGACAGGTAACAAAAACACTACTACAAAGGAAAATATCACTTCACGTGTTTGGTTCACAACATATTTAACTATTCTATGGAAAAGTTATATGATGTGGGATTAATATAAATGTTACCAAATCCTTTTTTCTTTTCATTAGGGCTAGAGATGGACGCCAGGGCCTTGCACAGGTAGACTCGCACTCTGCCACTGAGCCACATATCAAGAGCTCTAAGAAAATCTGGTAGACGACATAAGATTCTACTTTAAAGCAACAATGATTCTGATGTGAACAGGCACAAGAATCAGGCAGCCAATAAGAAAATTAGGGATGGGGCTGGGAAGGTAGCTCAGCGGTAGAGTGCATGCCTTGCAAGCATGAGGCCCTGGGTTCGATTCCTCAGCACCACATAAACAGAAAAAGCAGGAAGTGGCGCTGTGGCTCCAGTGGTAGAGCACTAGCCTTGAGCTGAAGAGCTGATAGTGCCCAGACCCAGAGTTCAGGCCCCATGACCGCCAAAAAAAAAAGAAAAGAAAATTAGGGATTGGGGCATGGTTTCAATGATAGAGCACCTGTCTAGCAAGTATGAAACTCTGAGTTCAAACCTTGGAACCAAAAGAGATCCCTTTTTGTTGTTGTTATTGTTGTCAGTCATGGGTCCTGAATTCAGGGCCTAAGAGGTGTTCTTAAGCATTTTTGCTCAGGGCTAGTGTTGTACCACTTTGAGCCACAACTCTACTTACAGTTTTCTGGTGGTTAATTGGAGCTAAGATCTCTGACAGCCGGGCGCCGGTGGCTCATGCCTGTAATCCTAGCTACTCAGGAGGCTGAGATCTGAGAATCGCAGTTCAAAGCCAGCCCGGGCAGGAAAGACTGTGAAACTCCTATCTCCAATAAACCACTAGAAAACCGGGAGTGGCGCTGCAGCTCAAGTGGTAGAGCACTCGCCTTGAGCTGAAGAGCTGAGGG